TCAAAGTACATGCCACCATTGTTTTCATTCCAATTCCAGATCATAGTTTCTGTTTTGAAAAGCTTTGCCATGAGTCATATCTCTTGGAAAACTTGGTAGAGGATGTTGTTTTTTTTTGTTCAAGATCATTCTTATCCCAACTATGCGTCTTTAATGTCATCAGCATCCCCCGACCAGACACCAATCATTATCAATGTACTGGCCTCTGGAGGAAAAGAAGGAACACTGTTTTCTATTAATAGATTTGTTTGAGATGTATGGAATGCTTAAATGATCAATATTTATCTTTTTACATATGAGCTTGAATACATATAGAGCATAGTCTAGGAATAAATTAAATAGATTGGGACTCTCATTGTTGTATTCTTGCTTTATAGTTCCTCTATTGGGGTAGTAGCATCTGTTAGGGTTGTCCCAGCTATGGGCAAATAGTGAACTCTCAAATAAAAATCAACAATACATTTTTATAGCAAAATGACTAGCAATACATTTTTTATAGCAAAATAGCAATCAATAGAACATAAAAAAGTAAAAAAAGATATTTTTATTGTAAAATTATTAACAATACATTTTTTGTATAAAAAAAAAAAAAAAAAAAAAATTGCTAACAGTACATTTTTTTTAAAAAAAATTACCAACAGTATATTTTTTAAAAAAAATTACCAACAGTACATTTAAAAAAAAAAAAATTACCAACAGTACATTTAAAAAAAAAAATTACCAACAGTACATTTAAAAAAAAAAAATTACCAACATTACATTTTTAAAGAAAAAATTACCAACAATACATTTTAAAAAAAAAATTACCAACAGTATATTTTAAAAAAAAAAAAGAATTACCAACAGTACATTTAAAAAAAAAATACCAACAGTACATTTAAAAAAAGAAAAGAATTACCAACAGTAGATTCTAAAAAAAAAAATACCAACAGTACATTTAAAAAAAAAAAATTACCAACAGTACATTTAAAAAAAAAAAATTACCAACAGTACATTTTAAAAAAAAAATTACCAACAATACATTTTTGTAGTGAAATTACCAGCAATACATTTAAATAAAAGAAAAATATACCAACAATACATTTTATGATCTAAAAACTATATATTTACTTTCAAAGTATAAAACTATGTACAGAGTATCTGTAGTTGAAAGCATAAAATTATGTACAAAATATTTAAATTTTGGTATTAACTGATAGATGTTAATATGCTGCTAAACAAAATCAACCAACCAACCAACCAACAGGGTTCCTCTATGAAATCTAGACAATGGAGTCTGAGCTTTGAAGATGGTTTCTAATGAATGTGAAAAGGAAGTTTCTATTGATATCATTATATGTTGTTGTGAGGTCAACATAACAGGTATACAATTTTCTGTTGGAGAGCTATACAGCCTCCTGGAGTTAATTGATCACATATATGTCATTATTGCACCCTTTAATAGTATGAAAACCAAACCAGGTTGTAAGGAATTGACTTACATAAACTGATGAGAGCCTAGTTAATACAATGTTCATAAGAACTTTCACCATAATGGATCCAATTAGGATACCTCTGTATGTGCAAGGGTCTTGAGAACTACCTTTTTGTTTCCATAGTGCATTAATGTGCTATATACCCCACTTTTAATTCATGACTTCCTTTATAAAACTGAGAAATTTGTTTTTCAATTTAAGCAGACGGTATGCTATTTTCAAAAATTCAGCCTAAATATCCTGGTCTCAATGTAATTGATGTGTTATTATTCTTTATTTTTTTTTTATAGCTTTCTTAATTTCTTCATCACTAGGTTCATAGCTATTTACATTGGGAGACAGACTTTGTAATGCTCGGCTATATATTAGTGTATATTCTATTTCTTCTGCTTAGTGTGATCAGGGTTGAAATGTGACTCAGTGTTTTTTGAGATTAGAACAGTTCTTCTGTTTTGATTTTGATTGTATGATGTTATGATTTTTTTTTTCCTTTTTCACATTCCAGCACATAATTTATGCCCCTTTTGCTTCATTAATTTGGTTTTCAATTTGTCAAAGAAATTCATTTCTAATAACATAAACATTATTTTAATCTCTTAGTTAATTGTTCAGTATTCTCCCTTCTATTTTTTCTCTTCTGTTTGGTTCTATCAATTTTATCAAATAAGTAATAAGAGAAGCCTTTTTTTTTCTGCCTAGATATTCTTGGAATGGTCTCTCATGCTTTGGCTAAAGAAGGTCTGATTACATTATTTGAGTCCTTTTAATGTTGCTTTGGCCTAGATTTATGGACATCAATTTTGACTTTAGTTTATTCCACAATGCTACTCTAAAATTGTCATTTTTGAATCTTACACCTTATTGAAGTCTTTTTGTGATATATGTGAGTAGAAGTCAGCCATTTTGTTGGCTGGCGTAGTTGAAGTGAGCTAATTTAAAGATAAATGGAAACTGTTTATCAGATTTTTATTGGCTAAAAGAAAATTAAATTCTATTCTCTAGTTCTGAAATTGTAGATGATGGTGATATTCAGAATTGCTGCAATTTTAAGTCATTTTCTGCTACTAGAGTCTGACACTGGAGATGCAACCTGTTTTATTATTGTTCTGACTCTGAAGTCATGAAATAGGGGAGAAAAAAAACAAATTTTTGTGGTACCAGATTTAATTAATCACTTTTTAAAGAAATCTTTTTCATTTGAGATTTTGTTTCAATGATAAAAACACATTATAATTATGGAGTTTAATAATTCCAAGTGTTGCATATTTTAAAAAAATGTTGCTGCACAGAATTCCTATTTGGGGAGTCTTTTTTATTATTATTATTATTATTATAATAATAATAATATTATTTTTATTTTCTTTGATTTCTGGCATTTACACACTTCTTTCCGGGTCCTGCCCAAGGACCTAAGGTTAGAAATGGCGTCATGACACTTTCCACTGACAAAAAAAAAAAAAAAGAATTACAGAGATAAAGCCCTTCGTAAAGTGTGGGCTGTACTTGTCAGAACAATTTTTTGTATCTCCTTGAGGCATGGACTTCCAGGAATCCCTTCAATTAGTCTACTGCAATCTTTTCCAACCAGTCCTTGGGCTCCAACTACAACAGGGATTATTGATGTTCCCATATGCCACATTTTTGAGATTTCTATTTCAAGGTCCTTGTATTTTGACAGCTTTTTGAATATCTTCAAAGATACATTGCAGTCAGCAGGGACTGCCATATCAACAAGGAGGCACCATTTTTGTTTGTGATCTTTAATAACAATATCTGGGCAGTTGGCTTTGATTGTTCTGTCAGTGTGTATTGTGTAGTCCTATAGAATTGTAACAGGTCCTATCTCTGTAACCGCATCTGGTTGGTGTTCATACCAGTTTCTTTCAGTTTTCTTCCGGTAGAAGTTGCAGATTTTCCAGTGCAGATATTGGCCCACTCTGTCATGCCGGGTTTTATATTCAGTGGGTGCCAATATCGTGCAACCTGATACAAGATGATCAATTGTTTCTGGATATTTATCACAGAATCTGCATTTTGGGCTGACGCAATATTTTAGTATATGTGCTTGATAATTCCTAGTTAGCAAGCATTGGTCCTCTTACAGCAAGGATAAAACCTTCAGTTTCCGCTTTCAACCCTGCACTACGTAGCCACTGATGGGTACGGGTTTTGTCCACGTCAGCTTTTTTGGTACGGGCAGAGTATTGGCCATGAAGCAGTTTATCTTGCCATCGCTTCTGTATCTGGTTGGTTGCATTCGTCTTTGCTGTCTTAAGTATTTTGTAGTTTCAGCCAGTGTATTATGCTGTAGTTGCATCTCTACGCCCATTTGAAACTCCATTTTGAATTTGTTGGCTTCTTTTATTACGGAATAAAGACACTTACTACTTTCATGTTCCTTGACACATACTATCATCCAGTCTTCTGTAGTTTCCAAGTATCTTTGGAGGCCAATTGTTGTAGTTTTGTAGGACAGTCCTAGTTGAACTAATCTTCTGCCTCCTTCGGATCTGGGCACATACAGATGATCAACATTAGCTTTGGGATGATGCATGCGATAGCAAGTGAGAAGCTTTCTCGTTTTGGCGTCCATTCGCCTAATTTCAGCTATGGTCCAGTTAAGGACATTAAAGCTGTATTGCACCACAGGGACAGCCAATGTGTTTATGGCCGATATGCTGTTTTTTGAGTTTAGCTCAGTATTTAATACCAGACGTAGATGCCTGTAGTACTTTTTTCTTATTTTTTCCTTTATTTGGGGGTGTTGTATGCCATCTCCTTCGCTAATTCTTAGGTACTTATAAGCTTCATCATGCTCAAGATCCCTAATCTTTGTGACAAAATTATTATTATTACTACTACTACTAGAGCTTTTATTATTATTATTATTATTTCTTGCGGGGAGGTCTTTATTATTATTTTTTTTATACCATGTCTCTTCAGAACACAAGCAACCATGATTTTCCATAAATCCCTTTTTCTTTATTATCTGTGAATTGCCATGCTTTCTTGGGAAAGATTGATTTTGTTTTTTACAGCTTATCAACCTCTTGCAGGTTATTTAAAACCAGATAATATTTTTTGGATTGTAAGAATTTTCGGAGGTAATAATGATTTTTACTGATACAAGTTCTACTAATTAATTAGCAAAGATAGTGAATAGGTTTCCCCATCACCTTCTCCTCAGTTTACAATTCTTAGTAATCCTTCTTCTAGACTGGTTACCACCCAAGACTAGAGAGCACAGTTTACCTTACTATTTAACACATAGCTGAAGTTGCAGGGTGGCAAAGTAATGGATTCATGCTTTTCACAAGGGCATTTGTGTGAAAGTGAATGCAACAGATTTGGCGTAGATTCAAACTCTGCTCTCTGATTCCACTTTCTGTGCAAATAACCGTTACACTACTTGCACATTGGGGGAGCCTACAAGCTGCGGGTACAGGGCAGGATAAATAGGCTTTTACAACTTTTGCTCTGATGAAGAACTGTTTTTTTGATATGTGTACATTATTGTTTCATTAGAAATTGAAGAGAGAGAAGCGGATGCTATAGAACAGCCGACACGGATGATTTCTGACGTTGCCGATGAAGGAAATATTCTTGCGATCAGCATCCACAGAACAGACAAACTCAAGAATGATTTCCACATTGCCCATCCACTGGTACGCGTGCACATTGTTAATGAGGAAACTGGACAATACCTGAGCAAACAAAACAGGTAGCATTTCCCTTTTATCTTTTGGTGCTGGGGCTTTTCATAAAAAATAAATTAAAATCACTGTGTCAATCGAGTAATTTTTTAAGGGGACGAATTAAAAATTAATTTTAATTAACTTTATTTATGATAGTTAACCTAACTAAAACTTTGCTCTTTTTTAATTTGTTTCTCTTCTGGTGAATGATCTAATAATAATGATTGGATTGCGTTTACTAGGTTGAGTCAAAAGTTTGTTTTTTTTTCCTTTTCCAAGCTTTAACTAATAGTTAAAAAAAATTACATATGAAAAGTTGTTACTCATCAAAATATAACCCATCATATTCAATGGTCTTTTGTCATCTTCGTGCCAGAAGCTCTTCCATACTCATACCATTTATTTACATGGTTTATCTTTGAGTCTGGTGTCACCTTCCTTGAAATGTTTGAACCAGTTTTGTGCCACACGTTTGTTGACCGTTCCTCGGCCATTTGCATTGTTAATTTCTCTTACTACTGTCCTTACACTCAGTCCTTTTTTCCACAGGTAGCATAAAATGGCTGTGACTGTAATTTTTTCATGAATCAAAGCTGTAAAATAAGATATAAACATTAATTATTCTTTACATATGAAAATAAAGAATAAACAATTCAGTAACAATTGGGCAACAAATTTTATCAAACTATTGACATAAGATTGAATTACTTGTTGCCAAAAATCATGAGGAAAAATCTGAAAACACTTTTGACTCAATCTGGTAAGTCAGTGTAAATCAACCATCTTTTGTTTTTGGTATCAGAACTTTCACTGAATAATGTGCTTCATTGTTCACTGCCACACATGTCATGCTTTTTTCTTTCTTTTTTTTAAAGTGTTTAAAAACTAGACTGATAAAGTAATTTTAATGTTTTTTTTTTCTACTGAAATGTTTGTGATAAAAATATGCAAATACTCCACAGCTTGACAAATTTGAGTCCCTTTCTCAGTACCCTTCACTTTTTACTTGCATTTATTTGTTTAATAAAGTAATTGCTTGCTTCAGTCTTTGTTAGTCCCAAAATGCGTTTGTTTGATAATGTAATTAATTATTGAAATAACTTAATTTGTGGAATGGTTGGGGGTGTGGGGGGTTAATTTCTCATTACTTTAAGTAGCTTTGTGTGTTTCCATAGCATCACATATATTTCAGCATTACTTGACTTATACCTAATTCTCAAAAGAGTTTGTTTGGTTCTCACTCCTTCCTGGTTTTTGAACAGGAGTAAAGTTTTATTCTTTGTTTCCTCCTTTAGGATTGGGTTTTTGGTTCTTTCTAAAGTCTACTTCAATTCTATGCTTACAAAGTCTCCGTGTTAACTCTTAAATTTTATTTACTCATTGTTTTTTTTCTCCTAAATAGGAGTAGATAGGTTTGTCTTTTGTCTGGTTCACACTCCTCTTTTAAACAGGAATAAAGGCTTATCTCTTGTTCCCTATTTAGAATAGGTGATTTCCAGTTATAAAAGCTTTTCAATTACTTTCACTTGCAGTAGCCACTTGTGTCTTAGTGGCATTGTTGCCTTGCTTGTGGCAAACCAATTTTTTAAAAAAAAACAGTTGTTTGTAATTCCAGATTTACAAATTTTATTTTTCTTTTGTTCATTCCTAACATAATTTTCTTGTTCACAAGTATTACCAATTGTTTGATGATAATGGCTGCAATTTTTTTTTCAGTTCATGCTTTTGTAAATTATGCTTTGAAACTTTTATCTGTGCTGACATCAGTCAGCCAGTTCAGTGCCATACATGATACACACTTGGGTGGTCATATCTCTTTCAATTCATGACTGACTATGCAGACGATTTTCTTGCAGTGGGTTGCCATTTTTTTTCTGCAATAGATTGCTTACCAAACAAGGCTATAGAACTAAATCTGCCCTACTATTTCTTCCATAACTGGGGGAGGAGGAGCAATGAGATAGATTCCTATCTTTCCCAAAGAGAATGCATATGGGTGCATAAGTGAATGCAGTGAAACTGACTGTAATTCAAATTTGGCTTTCTGATTCACCATCCATTACACCATGATGTGCATTTGTGCTGATACATACTTTTAAGAAAAAAATGGATGAACTGAGGAAGAAAAAAAAATAATCCATTCCTGTATTTTTCTTTGATTTCCAGTCATCTTATTTTTTTTAACCAATGGGAATTGAGAAAAAAAAAATGTATTTTGTACTTTACTTTCTTTTCATTATCCTCCCAAAATGGCAGCAATAACTGCTATATCTATAGTCAGTTCTGACACCTGATAATTATCAATAAAAAGACTAAAGCCATCAATTCGGCACCAAAGCGAATGGCATTTTACTGTTGACCTTCTCTTTTATAGCTCATTTTATTGCAATATTAGAATTATTAGCATGTTGTCACTCTGGGAATTCTTTAAAGCAATCAATCAAATATATTGATATTACCAAAATGTATTATTGCCTACTTTCTTCATACTTATTCATTATAAATCAAGGTACTGACCTCCAACTTTTTAAAACCTTTTCTAGATACATGGTCAATATTTTTGTTATTGCCAATGTTTGGTTAAGTCATTATACCTGAGAAGTGATTTAAGGCATAATCAACCAGCTTAATTTATTGACATTTTGGTGTGGGAGAGTTTTGCATATGAGACTAGGTTAACCTATGTCACCCCCCCACCCCCACATCCCGCACTGTTTATCCTTTCAAAAAGACACTGCAGCTCTCACACCCATCATTTTCAGCAAATACTCACAGGGATATTAAAAATACTTGATTGGTCATTCTTGAGAATAATTAATTTCCATAATACTCTTTCAGGAATTTGTGTAGAGCATTAAAAAAAACAAAACAAAGAAAACTGTGTTGTTTTTTTTTTATTCAATTCACCCCAAGCAAGCCAATAATGCCACTAAGATACAAGGGGCTACTGGGAATGAAAGAGAATGAAAAAACTTTAGAAAGAACTAGAAAGCCAATCCTAAACAGGAAACAAAGGCTACACTTGTCCAAAAAAATGGAGAGGAGTGTGAACTGGATGATAGGAAAACCTATCTACTTCTATTGAGGTAAAAAAATAAATAAATAATAAATAACATTTCAGAGTTTAAGCAGAGACATTAGAAGTATAGAGTTGAAGTAACTTTACAAGGATCTGAAAAGTCAATCTTAAACAGAAAACTAGGTATGAACTTCTACTTCTGTTGAAATGATTGGGGAGGAGTATGAACCAGATAATATTTAAATTATTTACATATTTACTAGGCATAAGAAAAACAAAAAAAGAACATAGTTAAAATTGCAGCATTTCAGTGGAGATGTTTATAGTTGTTTTAAACAGGAAACTTTTCTCTCTAGAATGTTAACTGGACAGTAGACAAATCTCTTTTCCATTGTCCATCTGTGATAATTAACCATCCATCTAGCAACTTTTTTTCTTAATTTGAAAGTGTTTACACTCTCTCTTTATGTGCTGTGTCTCCTCCTCATTCCACATGTCCTTGCAGCTCTAAATAAATTCTGTCTTTTCATGATTTCTTCCTTTTCTATAATCCATTTTCTCAAGTATAAGTTGTTTTCCTTTTTATTTCCTTAATTTCCTCTAAACTGTCTTCCTCATTACATGCCTTGAAATTGGTCCATGGTCCTAAGTATAAGTCGTTTTCTTTCCATTTTCTCTAAAACTGTCTTTACTACATGATTGGTCCATGGTCGATTCTGCTCCCGATTGACGGGGGGGGGGATGGCCTTGACGCGTGATGCGGTTAATTCAATTGGAGCTGGCTCAACCCACCCCGGGTGAATGCCGTTACAAGACAAGACAGCATCCTCTGTAGAATCACATTTCTGTTGCTTCAAGTTTCTTCTTCATTTTTAAGGAAGTTGTCAAGCATTCACTGCTAAGCAGTTTAGTAGAATTTTCAGTATGTCTACACTAGATTGTCTATAATCTTGGTCGTCTACTATTTTCTCAATCTATTATTTTCTTGTCTGAATTTTGTTACATGAGATGCTTTAATCATTGTATGAGGTAAGTTTGGACTAATTTTTTTGTTACTGCACAATATTAATGACAAAATGGTGAACAAAATGATTGGTAATGGGGCTAATTAAAGAGAACATTGAATTCCTGTTTTCATCAAGAGTTCGAGTAACCAGAACCAAGATTTATTTGATTAAAACTCATTTCTTTGCAGTCTTAATCTAACACCAGTTCCAATAAGATATCTTGAACAATGAAAAATGATGATGATCTTTTCCTTATATATAGCTTCAGGCATATAAGTAACTGTTTAATATTTCTTTTGTTTTCTAAACTATTTTTCCTGATCCTTTATAAATTATTTTCTCTTTCTCTGACTTGAGTTTTTCTTCTTGCAGTTTGAGAGCTGTGACTTCCATTTATGAGGGTAAAAATTCAAATGTCCAACATATCTTACCCATAATGACTCAGCCATTTGACTTCAAGCAGAAAAAGTGAGTTCCTTTTTTTCTTTTCTTTTTTTTTTGACAAGATTCATTTTAATAAGAAAGAATACACTATTCAAAAGAATTCGCTAGACAATCATTGGTATTTAATTAAGTAAACCTTTGACTATCATTCAGAATTCCTTATTACAAAATGTATAGGGCTATAATAAACCATTAAAATTCCTAAACATCAAAGTCAGTCAAAATTATTTTCATCTCAAATATGAAAAAAATCTGTTAGGTTAATAAAAAAATATATTACTTTCTCTAAAATATATATATCATACTTATTATAAAACCCAGGTTGTGTGTGTGAGTGTGTGTGTCTGTATGTTTATATATTGGATCGGATTTCCTACATTGTTCAACCGATTTCAACAAAACTTCACAGGACTACATAAAATTACCTTGCGGTGGTTCTGACAGTGCCAAAAATTGGAAAAACACAATTGTTTTTGCACAAAATCAATTTGAAAACATGATTAAGAGGCATTGCGAGAATGAAAGGGGGACAACTCATATTGAGTTATACTTATTATAAAACCCAGGTTGTGTGTGTGTGTGTGTGTTCATTTATATATGGGATCAGATTTCTACATTTTTCAACCGATTTCAATAAAAACTTCACTTTTTTTTTTTTTTTTTGGCAGGTAGTGTTTCTTATTGTCTTGCACATTTTTTTTCTTTTATTTTTACATTCAGAATGCTTTAAAATTCCATTTACAAGACAATTGTTTATAATAAAATTCTATTCAATCGGTAGGCTCATAACGATTGAAAACAATGTTTTTGTTTGAGTTTGGGTTTGACCAATTCATAAAAAAAAAACAAAAAAAAACAAACTAATTAAGACATGCGTGTCCATCAACCTTAAATGATAATCTTTGTCAATTTTATTTTTCAGTCTTTATGATGGTCGATACTTGATCTTATCTCTTACTGTTACATCCCCGGGCAACACCAAGCTCTACTGCTAGTATATATATAAAATTTTGGGGAAATACTTTCTATAGACTAGCCTTCTTTAGACCAGTTTTTCTCAGCCATTTTAAGCAATGGCACACCTAGGAGCAAATGAAAATATCATGGAACATTTAGCAAAATTTTTAAGGGGTATACATTTAAATGTTATAAAATAAAACCATAGATTTTAAAAAAATATACACTAAAATATTTCAATGTTTCTATTCGCCTATTTGTGCAACTTATTTAGTATGAAACCTGTGCCTGGTGTTTTTTCGAGATTTCTTCAATATTTGGTCAAATGTGCGATAAGCAGACCCTCATTTCTTCTTCAATAGAGCGTAGTTTTTCTTGCTTCTTATTTTTGATGCTATTTAGGCTTGAGAAGTCTAATTCACATAAAGGAGTAGAACATTGTAATAAAAGATATAAAGCCTTTTTAGCTAATGTGGAATATTCTTTATGTATTGAAATCCAAAATGTATCAATGGGTACCGTTGAACATTTTACATTGAGCTCTCAACCACTAGAAATGGTGGCCAATTCTTCATCTTCACATAACTGAAGTCTAATATTAGAAGGAACATTTATGAAGAGATTTCAAATCCAATCATACTTTTCTGTGCTCATTGACAGAAATTAGTAGTCAATGTTTTTGTTGTTTCATCATTACTACTTACACACACACACACACACACACACACACACACACACATATGTATGCCATGACAATATTTCAGGGCACACTGAAGAGGATTGTGGAGCATGGAGGTTGAAAATCACTGCTTTAGATTTTACTTAGGATACAAAATTTATCAGAACAAAAAGATTGATTTATTATTGATTTAGAAGTGGGGATCTAGTTTTATAATATTAATACAGTGTTGAATTGACTTTTACTGAATTATTGGACTTAGGCTAAATCACTTGACTTTTATTTACAAATATCAGGTTTGAAACTGTTAACATTGTTATTCACGTATATTTTAATGTTCTTAATTTTTTTTAACCTTTCTTTACATTTTTAAAATCTTTTTTTGAATGCACAGACATTTGAAGTTAATAATTATTTATCTTAAACTAAGAATAACTGGGGACATAATTTTATTAATTAAAATTGTACATAATCGTTTGTTATTCAAAAGAATTCTCTTTTGTAATTCCTACTTAAAAAAAATGTTTTCGTATGCGAAACAGCTAAGGCCAGTAACTCTGTAAAAATCAGTGATAGATTTGACACTTGATCGATATTATAAACAAGACACCCACCTTCTAAATTGATCACAAATAAATATTCTTTTTTATTCTGACAAGTGTTGCGGCCTAAGGAAGGTCTAAAGAATGATAATGTACAAAAATTATTTCCTGAAAATATTTTCCGTATTTTTTATGAGTGGACCACTATATTTAAGTAGTACATCATTAATTCCTTAGTAATTACAAGGTTATCTGAAAGAACTCATTCAAGCCCTCACTTCTGGTCCATTTTGATCTTTGGTAGAAATCCTCCTCATCATAATAACAGCACATTGGCAGCAGTATGATATTTTTTTTTTTTAAATTTTATATTCCGTGTATATTTTATCTGTTGGCAAATATTGTAGTTTAACACTCAAATAGCTGCAGTCTTAATTCATATTGTTTATACATATAAAGTATATAACCAAATAATAAGCAACACTTAACTGACATGCATTTTAACCCTTAAATCTGACTCGGTACCATATTTCCTGATCAAAATGATTGGGCAATATGCTGATTTCAACATGATTTCTTTTTTCTTTGCAGATCCACTCTTCCTGTTTGGGAAGATGTTCTTGTGTTTAATGAAAACTACAATTATTTTGTCCAGACAGAACCAAAAGTTATTCTATTCTTTGAGGTATGATTTTTCCTTTATCTGTAGTACCTACCAGGATGCATGATGCTTAACTTTGGTGACCCTATGGGAACCCGTGTTTCAGCCTGATATGGCCATAATCCTCTCCACATATTAATCTAATAAAAGACTGTGGCTCATCATTAAAAGAAATGGATATAAGAAGAGAAAACTATATTCGAGCAAAGAATGTTTCTGGAAAGCAATAAAAACTGCTTCATGTAAAGCTAAATTGAAAATAGGAAACGATTTAACAAATTGAATGAAAAAATAACCTCTGAAAATTACAAAATGTCAAGGAGCCTGTATTAGATGCAAAATGTAATAATGTTTTTTTCCAATTATAACATGATGATATTTATTTATGAATATCTTTATGTGGCCTATATCTTTTTAATTTCTCTCTATATTTTTGAGATGTGGTGTATACGTATATATAGATATATACTCGGAAAGTACTTGGAGGAGCAATAAAAATGAATAAATATAACCATAGTACCTTTCCTGCTGTCTTTAATCATGAATCAAGAAAGCTTTAATGTAATTATAAAAGGATTTTATTGAGAATAAACAAAAACATGTATAAATCGTTTAATCAGACATATATATAAATAAATATATATATATATGCACACACATACATTATAAGCCAAAAGTTTGGGAACACCACCTGGATTTCAAAGATTTGCCTAAAAAATGAAGTTTATGTATCTTTTTCAAAACTAATTTACTAGCTCACTTTGGACCAGAGGGTCTTTCTCTTCCTGAATTCAATAATAATAAAGAGATTAACTCATTCCTGCATTAAGTTTCCTTAAAATTTTGGCTCTTTTTGAATAATCTACCTTGCTTGCTTAGGGCAGGCAGATTTTAAATTTTAGATAAATCCGCCTGTAAAAATTGGATGCCATGGCTCAAAAGAGTTAAATAGTTTCAGCATCCGAGCATAATAGGAGTTAATTAAACCAAAGAATGTATGAAACATACTAATTAGTTAATCCAGAAGGTGGCACCAAACATTTCGCCTATATTGTATAGTCATATTTTATTGAATATGATGGACATATTTTGTAAGTTTTTTATTCAGTTTTTCTTGTCTTTAAAATTGAATAAAACACTTATAAAATATTCCTTGTTCATCATATTCAGCAAACATGCATAGAATAAGGATTAGTGCTCAAATATGCAATATATATATATATATATATATATATATATATATATAGTTTATGAAAAACTAGGTAATCCGTATGGGTAAACCTAAAGAGGATAAAATCCAGAGAGCTCAATGTAAATCCAGAGCAAGTAATTTAAATAAAAACAGACCACTTTAAGGTTCCATGTAATAAATTATTTCACCAAAGCCCTTTTAAAAGGACTGCAGATCATCAGACTTTACTTCAAAAATTTTTTCCGCAGCCCTTTTAAAAGGGCTGTGGTGAAATAATTTATTACATGGAACCTTAAAGTGGTCTTTTTTATTTAATTATATATATATATATATATATATATATATATATATATATATATATATATATATTATGCCAATTTTGATAATATTTTTCATAGATATTAAAAAGTAAAATTTAATTTTCCTCTTTAAAAATATCTGATCACCTAAAAAATATATAATCACTATATACAACAGATAAAAATCAATCAGCTTTTAATTTTTTTGTTATTAAAAAATATAAAACTGAATTCTAAATTGTCATAGTACCTAAAGTATTCACTGTAAGATTTATTCTGTTACTTTTCAATGTTATCAAATTTATGAATATACAAGGAGGTGCTGAAAAGTCCTTGGCATAACCTATTTTTCAAAATTTATCCAAATAATCAATGTTTTGGGGGATCAACTTCTGCAAATATGTCTTTTCATTTGGAATGATGACCTGCTTGAGTTTGTTATATTCACATATGCACAAATACCCTTAGCAAAGGTATGAATCCATCTCTTCTCTCCCCAACTACGTGTTAAATATTAGGACTTGTATCGGAAAAAAATCATTGCTATCTCCAAAAACTTGTTAGTGCAATAATCCCTTGCAACAAAAAGAAAAGCATTCTCACAATCCTAAATATGTCTCAGCTTTAAATAACCAAGAAGAACTTGATAAACTGTAAAAAAATAAATAAATAAATAAATAAACAAATCAATCCACAATCATCAAAATTTTATCTTTATATTTTGAATAGCCTCAAATACAAACCACTGTATATTAAGTCCTACCAGCCATCACTCTCTAAGCATAAGGAGTATTTGGTGGGCTTAATCTTTAAGTGCATATAATATTAGTCTTGGGTTTAAAATTTTTAAGTTCCTATGCACATTTTTGTCCTTGATCTTTGCTCTGATGAGAGAGGGCTGGTAAATCGGTTTAGCTGTTGTTCATTTTTAATCATTGTTAAATTTTGGTAGTACAATTTTATGTTAATATATTTTATGTTACGGATTATCTTTTAATATATCTGTTTTTATTGCTCTAATCAAGTACAAATGATATTAAAAAACAAAGAAAACATTAATATGAAATTTCATAAACTTATGCTTCTCTTTATTGGAAATGTCATCTTGTGATATTTATTAAAAGGGACTTTATTAAAAAACATCAGAAGTTTGGTCTTAACAAAAAAAAACTTAATATTTCAGATTCTAGATTTTGTGGGAATGAACATGGCCAGCCTACATTATTCAAAGCAGAAACAAGAATCTGGTTGGTACAAAATTGCCTGGGCTTTCCTCAAGGTAAAAATCAGAAAGTACTTTTGACTCTTAAACTGAGCCAACAAAATGGCAGCCATATTGAAGTAATGTTTCATTTGTATTGGTTTTATTTTCTGCATGAGCAATCTAGGATTTTTATCTGTATAATTTATATCTATTGTCCTATGTAAGAAAAAAAAGATATATATATTTTCTATGATAATTTCTCGGACATTCAGGCCAGTAAATATTATTAATACTGTTTATTATAAACAGAGCATTTACTTAAATATTTGTATCTATAAAAAGAATGTGTAAACATAAAAAAAAATGTCTTAAAATATATATACACTCTATTGTTACATATAGGAAAAAATTCTGCCTTAAAAGTAAATATATCCAAAGAAAGGTAGCATGGTATGTATGATAAGAAAATGACAGCCATATTTAAGTAACTTTGAAAGTGCATTAGTTATATTTTCTATTGTGTGTCTCTATAGCTGTATGTCACTTTATATATTTTTATTTATATGTCATTCTTTCAAATGAAGACAATGTCAACTTTGTTTTTTTGTTTGAAAGTACATATTTTCACATTTACTCTTATAAATCCATCGTACATGATTATAAGTTTATCATTTGTCCATGCTTTGAAAATTGCTGCCATATATGGTCCGGTGCTCCTGCTATATCTTTTGAGATTCTTGAGAAAATCTAAAGAATCTGCAATGTTATTGGTCCTGATCTAGCATCTTGGCTTCAGTTAAGTTCCCACTGCCATAATACAGCTTCCCTGTGCCTTTTCTATAAATACTTTCATGGTAACTGTTCTAATAAACTTTCCTCTATGGTACCTAGACTTTAGGAATTTAAGCACAGTACTAGATTGGCAGCTAGGTCTCATCATTTTATAGTTGAAAAGGCTAGTTGTAACTGTAAGTTCTATGCTAACAGTTTCCTCTCTTCTCTCTTGGTTTCTTGCTTTCCAGCCAATTTTTGATCTTCAAACATTTAAATGCAATGTCAGTCCTTATAGACAGTCTACTTGATTACTCTTCATTTATTACTCGTTAATGTTTTTTTTTTTTCTTATTCTTTCAAACTTGGTAACTCCTTGTGTCTTAGTGGCTTTACTACCTTACTTTGGGTGAAATGATTATGATGTAATGGAATAACCTGTTACCCCCATGCGTGACTAGACTATAGGTAGTAACTACCTATAAGTATCTGTAAGTCAACAGACTACGGAGACTGGCAGGGATCTGTTGAGTATGACTCAGACTTACATGAGAACTACCAACCTTCCAATAGTAGCACTCACTACTGGATTGACTTGTGACAACCTTGTGCATAACTGTTATCTTATTTCTTATTGTACTGGTTTTTACAATAAACCTTTATTTATTCTATCCCCCGTTTTTTTTTTTTTTTTTTTCAAGTATATATTCCTATTAACACGGAATATAACAGATTAAAAATAACTAATTCCTCAATGGCAGCTTTAACAACACCATTTTGATAGCTTATTCTTTTGTTAAAACTTGTTACTTTATTGAAGCAAAGGAATTTGATTTGGAATATTTTCATTAGGAACTCTTATATTTGATTGTTAATATACTAGATTCCTAAGCAACTAGTACTTCATGTATCCCAACTAAAAATAAAAGCACTACAATTGGTTGTTGATTATTAATATATTCTTTATTTCTTTTTCCCCTCTAGATTGTTGGTGCTAACAATAAAGTAAACACAGGCTCCAAAGTACGTTTGCAGTTATTTGAGCCAATAAACACCAGCATAGACATGCTGTCCAGCTCTCAGATGCCTGAAGTAAGAAAGAACCTTTTTTTCACTTGTTGCGTCTTTTGGATTCCCACCTACAAACATGCCTGAATTTACATGCATATATTTTTGTTGAAGTCAGTTTTTGGTATCTGCATAGTATTTTGAATAATAATAATTGTAATGAGAGAGAGCTCGGGAAGACTCATTTATTCTCCCATTTACACTTCTCCCATTATGGGCATTATTATATCTTTGATATAATAACATTATAGTTCATAGATGGAACAGAATGGCTGAAAAGAAAAGGAATGACAAACATGCTTTGTTCTCAGGGAGACTTTTATATCACTAAGGCATACACTAAACTATATATACACATGTCCTATGCAAAAAAAAAAGATATATATCACATATATATATACATGGCAGAGCAAAGTGTAAGGAGAAACAAAAAGGATGGGTCTTACATATAATATGGAGATACTCCATTTTTAGGACTGAGCCAGATTCATCAATGTCTCAGGTGAGGACAAATTCCACAAATGAGAAATACGAGTCTTGGGTTTTCCCAAATTGAGTACTGCGAGCTGGAGTTTCTTTCTATATCTGGAAAAGATATATTCCCAAAGGAAAATGGCACCATGGACTTGTAAGCTGCAGATTTAGCCTCTGCCCAGGCCATGGGGGGACCAAACTGAAAGCAACCTTTCTGGTTTGGCTACTTTAAAGGAACTGAAATTGACTTTTTTTGTCCCTGTATGGAGTGATGTCATTAAGCAGGTGTCACATGACTTATCACCACCAAAGGGAGATAAGCACCTTCTGTATTGATACATAATAATACAAATGAGAAAATAGATGAAAGTACAATTTTCCATGGTTTTTACGAAAGTTCAAGTCACCTGATAAGTCACTAGAACTTAATTTGTTGAATAGTATTTTGAATATTTCTACATTTCACTTGTATACTGTAATAAGATTCTTTTTTCCATTTCTAAATGTTTTCTTATATTCTTTACGAGTAATAAGTTACTGTTTAAAGCATTGTAACCAGAGCTGGATTATTCTTTAGGCTAGTATAGGCTGCAGTCTAAGTCCCCTCATGCTTTTAGAAAGCAGTGGTTTTAATTTCCTAGATGTTATAACATCAAAATAGTTTCATGAACTGAAAGCATGTCTATTTTATTTGCTGAGTTAGCTCAATGTTTTTTTATCATTTAGCTGAAAAGAAGCAATAATTGGGACAAGTTACAAAAAAGTTAAATTTTTAAATTTTTTTGAAAAGTTGTACCATAATATACATTACAATCTCAATGTCATACATATAGGGTGCAATGGCTAAATTATTGTCTAAATTATGCAAAAATGAAAATAACGCTGACATCTCTTTTAAACATATTTTTACCAAAGTTACACAAAAATATCTTGAAATACTAAAGAGTAAATTTATTCAGTAAAATCGCCATTGGCTTCACCTACTGCCACCAGATGACTTCAGAATCTGTTGCAACTCTGTCATATAAACCCATATCCTAACCCTAAGTAAAACCCTGGGAAATTTTCATAATGTTGCCTAAACCAACATCACACACCATAATATAATCCGAGATTCATATAGTGTGTGGAAAGTTGAAATGGCTATTGCTACATACTAAGATCGATGAATATACTAATATATTGATCCATTCTTGTCGTTGAACAAGTTCAGATATGTTCTAAAAATAATTGATGGATAACGTCAGTTGAGATGTTAGTGTTCATTTTTTTTTTTTTTTTTTGCTCCATATATCATAGTATTTGTAGAGCATATGTGTAGTTAATTTATGATGGTCATGTTTTCTAGAGTAAAATAGTACATTTGTATATAAGTGCACAGTATTCTGTTTAAATGCATTATATAACTGTTTTTTGAGCACTTGTTGTTATTGCATGTAAAGAAACACATGAAGAGTGAAATGTTTCTTATTTATCTCTTCATAAGGACAAAATGAATTTTACACATAATAGGTCTGTTCTGTCACTAACATCTACACTAATTCATGACCATTGACAATCCCTTTCTCTCTGATGCACAACATAACAGCATACAGCTTGAGTACTGAAACTGGTTGAAACCAGTTTTAAACAAAAAAAAAAATTGAAAAGTTTGATAGTTAAATTCCACTTTCCAGTATCAATATTACTATAGTAATTTTTTTAATGTTGCACAGATACTCTGAAAGGTGTGAATTCATCTCTTCTTCTCTCTCAGTTATGGGTTAAATAACAGGGTTGATTAGACTCCCAGCTATGGGTTAAATATCAGGGTAGATTGGATTCTCTAGCTTGGAATCCAGTCTGAGAGAAGGACATGGCATAATTTTTTTTTTTTTTTTCATTCAAAATCATTTCAATTTCCTGCACAAAAATCATGTCACGAAGAGTGGGTTATGAAAAATTCTTCTGTGAGGGTTGGGGCAAAATTTATCCTTTCTAAACTTTAGGCTTGCTTCTGAAGTTAATATTTTATATAGATTTTCAAGCAGACCATAGACAAGTATTAAATGTTTAACTTTCTGAATTATTAATATTCACTGTATCATTTCATGGGAAATATACAATAGGAATACTGACATCTGCCTACTTTCTATAGACACTTTTAGCATTTGCAATACCATTATAAATGTAGCCATTAAGTGTGAAGAAAAGTTTTGATTTGCTTAATAAATCCTATCCTTCATATTATAGGTGAAAGAACCAGCAAGTACAACAATTCTCAATGCTTGGGTAATCATCCAGATTTGGGCGGATGTGCAGGTTGTGTAATGGATAGAAGCTTGCAATGGGAAATTGGAGAGTGAAGTTCAAATTTCAGTTGGGTTCATTAAATTCACTTACGCGTGACTACCCTTGGGAAAATTATCATTCCATCTCCTCTCCCCAACTATAGGTTAAATAGTAGGACTTTTATCTGGAAAAATCATTGTTATTCTCAAAAAGAAATTGTTAATGCAATATTCACTCAAGAAGAATTATTCTTACAATCCAAAATATATTTTGGTTTTAAATAACCAACAAAGGGTTGATAATCCATAAAAAACAAATTAATCAAAACTCAGGAAAAATGGAGTTTTGAATGGCTTGGCGAAGGTATCTTAAGTGTAGACTAAAATATTTTGCTTGCGGTTAACCACCTGAGGTAAAAAAGCGTACAAGTGAATTTTATTGTCAAAATCTTTGAGTAATTTATCAGAAGAATAAAATTGTGTGTATTCGGTACAAAAGGGCGATATGCATCTAAAATTGGTACAAAGAGCCCTAAAAAAAATCTGCTTTATGTGAAACAGGGTTTTCGATGATAATCAACATGAAAAATAAATATCAAACTTATTTCCATGTGGTCTTAAATTTAGGGTTTGCAATGTCAAAAACAAACCCAGGCATTGAGAGTTTAGTTTCCAAAAAGCATATCCACCTTCCTCATTAGTTTCATTGCTAACTCATTCTTAATTAGTTTTCCAACTTTTAATTGTTACTATGTCATTAAACAATATATACAATATAAGACAGTATTGAATTCCATTAAGAGTTGAATAGAATTAACTTTTTTTTACTCTGGGTAATCAGTGGCTTGTGGATTGAAGTTTAGAGTAGGGGCTTCCACAGTTTTTGCTAAAGAATGAGCATACCATTATGAAAAGATGCACTAAATTTAATAAAAACAAAGTTTTATCATCCAAATTTTTATTATTATTGTTATCATCCTTTGATTATTAAATTATATTATTTTGATGCTTTTTAGAATGTTTTAAATTTTGGCTAAAAATTTTGTTTTTCTTGCTTCAGCAGGGGACCATGTGTTAGTATAGAAAAATAGTGTATTTTTTGTGATGAAAAACACATTGATTTGGAAATTCTTGCAAAAATCAAATTTCCGAATTTTAATGAAAATTGCAGGACTTATTCACTAATGAATGAAATCATTTTAGAAATATTTCTTTTTTAGGAAATTTTTTTTTTTATATCTCTTACCCCACTCCACCATTTATTTAATTTATGAAATTTCAAGAAATTTATTTTTGCACCACTTTGTTTATATAAGTTATAAGCAGAAGTCCTTGGAGAATTTAAATCATCATTTTTTTTTTTTTTTTTTTATAAAACAGGACCTCCAGTTAGCGAAAATCTGCTCTGAATCGTGAAATAAAAAATGCAATAAAATTAAGATAATTAATTAGAAAAGCTTTTAATTGCTTTTATGAATAAGATTTATTATGGACAATATTGTCTTAAGAAAAGTAAATGTTTTGATGAATAATTTATAAAGTTTTAAATCTTCTAAATTTCTGCATTAATTTGTACTGGTTAGATGATATCCTTATTAAATAAAAACTATACTGACTAATCATAAATGGAAAACCTTATTACAATTCAATGACCACCAATATTTTAAAAAGAATTTTGAAATCTTTTTTTGTGTGTATAAACATACCGATTTTTGTAAATATGGACATGCATACATGACATTATGAGAAAATAATAATTTAAAGCCAAATTACCTAAAATTAAACAAATCATTAGATTATAGAAATAATGCTAGGTAGATAAAAAATTATATAAAGAAGGTGATTGCGTTATATTCCTCGAGCAACTTTTATGGATATGTCCTCTGTTGAAAAAATTAGATTAAATTAAATTAAATTTCTGGTTATCAGTCTGTCAATTGTAATCAAAACACCTACATCTGTATTAAAAAATACATTTCTGTGATATTTTACACTAAAAGTAAGTAACATTTGTTTCAAATCAGATTAATTAAACTTTACCTTGGCTAATATTTCTCAAATAAAGTTTCAGAAAAGTATATTTTGTTTTTGAAAGATTTTTAAATAAAGAGAATTACATTGTGCTGACAGAGTTAATAATGGCCAAAATCAGTGATTTTTAGCAATTTAAAAAAAAATAATCTTCTAGCCAATTTAAATTAGTTTTAAAATATAGCAAAGTATTTTGCTTATTGGAAATATTAAATTTAATCTATTAGCTTGAAATTAAAACTAAAATAAAAGCTTCAAGAAAGATTTTTTTCATTTTAAACCTCAAGTAGTGCATTTCTTCGGAAGTAGCTAATTTAGAGTAACAGATTAAAATTAATTAAATTAAATTAAATGTTGACAACTGCTGATTTAGTTCAATAATAAAAACTCCTGTAACATGTATAGTTGACCTGATGAAACTATTTACAACTTACAGGAAGTTTATTTAATCAACAGATTTAGAAATTTGATATTTTAAATTTTGTGGATAACTTGGACAATTCTTGAAAGTGGAAAAGAATAGACAGAAGAAATTTTAGCACCAAGGGAAGTTACACTCTATAAATAGGGAGGAAAAAGGTAGAAGAAATGGTCTTTGTCTCCTTGATTTTTACGAGCCATAGATTTTGGAGGGAACAGAAAATGAAGCCATTTGAACCTCTGGAGTTTATATCTGTGGCGGACATGAGACAGAACCTGGGACGAGCACAACTGGTCGTGACTTGCCTTGTCCCCGCCAAAAAAGAGCCCGTATTTGCTTAGCATGTAAATCTACTGCAGTTGAAATGAGGGAGAAAAAAGCACTTACCACTTTGCCGTAATCTGTCCTCGGCCAGATAACGTAAAAGAATGAGGGGGGACTGGCATTGCATTTTTATGCAATAAAGATGCAATGCAGTATAGGACATGGACGCAATGAATTATGGGATCACATGAAGACGCAAGGGATTATGGGTATATGGACAACTATAAAAGCAACTACTTTTTTCCAAGTCGGAAAGTTCTTCGAGTGACATTCACAGTTGGCAGCAAGAACAGGCAGTTAGTGTGATTTTGAGACAGAACTCAAGAAGGAATGACTCAAGGTTGAAATACCAGCTGGGAGAGCTTGAATTTACTCGCTGGTTACTGTTTTCTTTATTCGCCTCAATATCATAGGCTAGAATGTAATTTAACCCCAGTCTTCAGATTAAATGCTATTAAAAATATGGCCACTTACAGTTTAGTTTGGCAATAGGCCATAATAATAAGAGGCCCCTGCCCCTCTTTCTCTCAATATGTCCTGGGAGTATCAAATTTTCTAAGCCCTCTTTCCTCATTATGTGGCTGTGAAATTTCAACTATCTTTCTGATATAAGTATAAGTGCCTTTTTTATTTCCATTTTCTCTAAAACTTCATTGTTTCTCACATATGTTGATCTATCTCATGCTGGGAGGTCAACATCACCAATTTAATACAATATTATATTCTCTCTCTCTCCTCTCGTCTTCTGGCCAGGGTCACAAAATGTTTTGAGTCAGGGATTAAAGACATCAACAAAGATAATTTTAACTTATCTAGTTTTATTAACATTCATGTCAACATGTTCTATCTATCTAGTGGGGGTCATTCCTTCTCTAATGGGGAGCCATTCCAGACACAAAAGAGAACACGTCTTCATTGTTTGATGTGTAAGAGCCAACTCACTGAAAAACCTTTATCTGTCTCCTTTCCCTTGCTCATTCAGCCAATCAAAATTGACTTCCTTATTTTGTCTTCCATCTGATCCCTAAGGTCAACCTCAGGAAGTCTGAGTAGAGATACACTTCCTCTAAAAATATGTCTGCTAACCCAGGAGTTGGCAACCTTTTGCTAACTATATGCCGACTTAGGGTATTAAAATCATTCAATGTGCCCGCAGCATATATATTTTTATAATAGTCAAGGTCAATATACCTGTTCTTTGTTATATTATATACAGTCATATATAGTATATATACTTTAGTATATATCAAAATTGAAACGGCTAAATACCTTGCGTTGTATTAGTTATTGGTTCAGACCTTCCTGATGTCATCTGCGGCTGGTGCCACTTGTGGCACAGGTTGCTTACCTGAGTGCTAAACTATTATTTGACACATGATATTCTCAGCATTTTTCTGTAGATCCACATTTCTGTTACCTCAAGTCTTTTCTTTATCTGTGATTTCTATAAATGTTTGGCATCTTTAAAAGGATTCTCTTTTTACACAAAACATTTTGTTAACACAGACTAAGCCTATTCTTAACATCTATGTATTTGTGATTTGATGCTAGTCGGATGCAAACATAATTTGAAATTTTCAGATATCTCTCCTCGTCCCTGGGATTTCACCTTGTCGCACTTTGCGATGTTTTGTCTTTGTATTTGTTTCTTTATTTATATACAGAAAGGTTTATATTTTTCTCTTGTTGGTGAAGGGGATATTGTCTAATTTCAAAAGAAAAACATTAAGAACATATGCTTCTGTCTGTGCTTTTTTAGGTTTATAACTGGTGGAAAAATTATCACCGTGTGAATTACCCTTCCACTTTGTATGTGACCGTCAAATCAATGATCATGCCACAAGAAATGGATCCAGGAACAGGGGCTGCTTCCCAGCAAGTAAAACATATTTTCTTCTATTCCCATGCCAATTTTGATTTTATGCTTTTATTTAGCACTCTGCATTATTTATAAATATTACTTCCCCTTTTACTATATATGGAATCCCCTCAAAATATAGTGTTTTATATATATTTTAGTTCTATATATTTGAAATTGCAGTAGCCTGGCTTTTAATTTCAGTCAAGATTGTTTTAGGTGCTGCCATAGAAGGTTATGACTACACAACTAAGAAATTCAAATTCAACTTGCAGGACTAATATTTTGCTTGGTGAAAATAGTCATCTATAAAGTGCCGAAGGTTAAATTCCTTCACTTGTTTAATTATTAATTGGCTAACTTGGCTAACAGTCTAACTCTCTTCCTTCGGGCGAAGATGAAAACGGACGAGGCTCCGCCGAAGGGCAGAGTCTCGTTCAGGGTGGTTGACTGCCCCTGAACCCATTTATGCAGGCTCAAAGAGGGAATATTTTTGGCCGAGCCTACGGGCTCGGAGATCACACATTAAACCCGGCCTTGTGCCACATGTAACCCTCGTTGGGGATAGCTAAATCTCACTTATTTTATTATCATTGATCATTTTACTATTTTTTATTTTATTTTAATTTTTGTAATATTTTAGCATTATTTTAATTTTTTTTTTTTAACCATAAGCCATACCTCATTTTAGGGTCATCACGAGACAATTATATTAAACCAGGGTATCTAGGTGTTCATCGTTTATTGTAACCCAACCACTTGGGTTTGTGACAATTTTAATTTTAAAAACAAATTAAAGATTAAAATAAAAAAATGCAATATTGTTTCTTTTCTTTAAACTTTTATATTTCATTGATTTCTTTGTGAAATTGAATGAAACAGAGAGTTCGTAAATCTCAACAAAACTGCGGAAAGGAATATAAAGCAGAGACAGGCCGCCCCCTCAAGGTAAGGCTTCAAGAACACCAGAAAGCTGTAACATGAGGGGAAGTGGAAAAATCAGGCTTGGTTGACCACATATGGAGAGAGAAGGGAGATTATCGCCCTCTGTGGGATCATGTTGAGATCATAGACAAGGAACACCATTGGAAAATTCGTAAACTTAAGGAATCAGCACATATGCTAGGCCACAAAAATCTCCTGAGCTGACCAAGCATAGAAATAAATACAATATGGGAACCAGTAATAAGGAGTACCAGAGAAAAGCAATGATAATAACATAGTTGCAATATGAGCTCTGGTAAAAAAACATGCAATGATAACAGCAAAATCGCAATATGAGCACTGGTAAAAATGGTTGCTGAAGACATTAGGTTTATAATACCCAGAAATTCATATCCAGATGTCCTCTAGTTGTGATAAATATGTTGACAAAGATGAGGACAATAGTCCGAATAATGTAAATAATGCTCAACAAAATTGTTAGCAATAACTTCAACTAGGACACGTGGCACAGTGGATAAAGGAGTTGTTTACAGTGACAGATCCAAAGAGTGTGAGTTCAATACCTGGTTAAGGCAGTGGAGAACTTTCAGAGGGAAATTAACAGGAGATAACTGATAACTGATATCCATCAAACATGTCACATGGAACTAGAACAGTCTACCCCAGTGAGCGAAATAAAGGGTTCAGTTCGACATTCCAACCACCTGAAGAAGGCCGGAGCATACAACGGCCAAAATGTTGTGATAAATATGGCAACAAAGATGAGGACAATAGTCCGAATAATGTAAATAATGCTCAACAAAATTGTTAGCAATAACTTCAACAATACTAAATATTTCAACATGCATTAGCATGTTGCTAAAAAAATCTAGTATATATATATTGTGTATATTTAGGCAGCAATTTTTCATTATTGCATGTGTCATTAAATAATATAGACAAGTTTTGTCTATTTATTTTAAGTAAGTTCCTTTCATATTGTCTGATAAGCTTAATCACATTATCGTTGATTTTCACATCCACGTCTCGTATATACGAGTTTGTCGTTACTTGGAAATTTTCATGCATTGTTGTTTTGTCCGTGTGCTGTTTGATTTATTGAAATTGTCGTCTTTGATAATGGCTTATATAAGCCGAAAGCTTAGATTGGATTTAAACATGTATCAATATGGTGATTTCCTTTGTTTTTCAACAATAATGCGATTAAGCTTATCAGACAATATGAAAGGAACTTACTTAAAATAAATAGACAAAACTTGTCTATATTATCTATATATATATATATATATATGTATATTCTCCCATTAAGAACTATGAGAATTTCAGTAAAAAAAAAAAATACTATATATTATGAGTTCTCATATGGATCTTTTTAAGTTTTTCTCATTCTTGCAAATTTTATGACATTGGAGACAGGTATGACCATCATGTGGTCAAACTATGTGTCTCTTTTCATAACTGATGTATAGCTCTGCTTCATGATAAAAAAGAAACACAGTTACAAAGGAAATATATAATAAAACAAATAAGGATGCAATGAGAACAGTGCTCAATGCAATATAATTATATATATATATATATATATATATATATATGCACATACATACATAGAATTATTCAAAGTAAAAGCAAGAAGTTAAAGAGTTAAATATAGAGACTAGTCTGATTAAACAGATTGATTTTTTTTTTAATTTATTTACTGAATATATTTTTAATTTTTCCAAAGAAATCAATGAAAATTTATTGAACTAAACTATGCACTTTAGTAAAACCAACTGTACTTTGTACCCTCTTACCTGTTTGTACTTCTTCCCAAAATTTGGCTTTGATTGGTCAATGTATGTCTATTTTAGAGGGTGTGATGGATGGATGAACTAACAGAAGTCACAGAATTTATATATATATATATATATATACACGTTTCATTAAATAATATAGGCAAGTGTTGTCTATTTATTTTATGTAAATTCTTTTTATAATGTCTGATAAGTTTAATAATGTTATTATTGAACGAAGAAAGAAATTCACAATATTGATCCATATTTTTTAATACAATCTAAGCTTTCGGCTTACATAAGCCATTATCAAAGATGTCAATTACAACATATTAAGCAATATAAGGACAAGACAGTGATGATAGTCTGTCATTGTTTACATAGATGATTTCTAAGCAACGATAATCACGTGCATATAAGACGCTAGAAGCGAAAATCCCACCGCATCTCATGATATCACACATGCTTCTCCTATTCACTCTCACGTGGTCATGTGTTACGTCATGAGATGTGGTGTGATTTTCAACAGTGTACTAATGATTTTAGGATTATTATCATGTTGAAAAGTGAAACATCATCTGCTGAAAAAAGTACTTAGCAAACTTTTTGAGATTTTCCTTCAAAATACCAAAGTACTCTACCAGCTGTCCTCTATCTTTACGAGAGCCAGATCAGGTCAAACATGGAGTACTACTGCCATATATAAACAGGAGCTGCCCAGTGTTCACTTTCCAGTTACAATAGAGTCCAGAAGTGTCTCCGCACCCTTGTGGCTGACAAACTATTTTCAACCCTACAACCTTTTCAGACAGATGAAACATCACAAGCCACTCGCAGCTCAATTACTATTCTGATAGAAAGTGCTCAGACTAACAACGTTTCTTACTTCCGTCAGTTCTAAACTACACAGCTAAGTCGTGCCATACCACACACATTATTGCAAACCACATTCGTGCTCCATTGATGAAATTTAAGTTTTCTCTTCTTTTCACAAACCTCAAAACAAATCGTGCCAAGGAAAAGTCATTACAAGACACTGAATCTCCAATATTAGCAAAAAAGAGTCTCACCAAAAGCAGACTGCTGATTTTCTCATAACTTGACTGACAAAGACCTGGATCTGGACAAATGGCAAAGAGGCCTGTATCTGAATATTCCAAGCTGTTCTACTGCTAATGAGGAAACCCATATACAACTGTCTTCGACAGATATGTCCACATGCAACTTGGGTCCACTTTTGCATGTGTATTGACATATGTTCAAGAGAATTAAGACTTACAGTCCCTTCCTGGAATAGGTTTTGTCTCATCGCATTTTTCTGTGATATTCTGTATAATCAACTTGGATACTGAATGCTGTTGCTACCAAATTAAATGCTGATCTGCAAGTGTTGACTCTCTCTCTCTCTATATATATATATATATATATTGCACATTGAGTGCTGGTGTTAATAAGTCATTGTTGAGGAAAAATGTATGTTTATGTTACATCTGTATATATAAAATGGAAAAAGTCTGTGTGATACCTTTTTGATTGAGATCCCTCCAACCGATTTTGACCAGACTTGGTACATACATTGTACAATTTAAGAAATAGGTTCTTAGCATAAAAAATTGATAATTTAAAAAAAATCAATAATTGGTAAAGCCAACTTTCATTCAAACTTGGTATGTAGGTTACTTACATCTTGATGAGCTTAACGATACCTCATTTTTATTTTTACACCATTGCATTTAACAATAAATGAAAAATTGATTTCAACACAAATTTTAAACTAAAAACTCCCTCAATTTTCAAGCAATCTAATACAAACTTCACTCAATTGTAGCCAACAATAAGTTGATTGTTTAACTTATAACTTGATAATTGAGTCCACCCATATAGTGAAAACCTGTGTAAATAGTGAAAAATGTCGATTTTTACTGGTTTCTTTCTTATTTTTTTTGATCTTTCAACCAGTTTTCATCAAACTTAACAATTGCTTTATTAATGTATCCTCTTTTATATCCCTGTTAGCACACTGACAAATTGAATTTAAAAAATTCCAAAATAATTGGGGTCTGAAGTGAGTGTTTATGTTGCCTGTTTTACCCCTTCATGTCCTCAGCTAACTTTGATTGAATAAATACAGACTACTTCTGTTATATCAGTAACTCTATTAATTCAAAATGTTTTTTAATGAAAGTACTTTAATTGAAGAAGATAAACTCTGTTACATCTAAACATGATGCTGTTTTTGCTCCATTCTAATTGAACGCTTTTCCTGATCGACCAGGTGGGTATGGCTGCTAGTTTCAAGTATAACCAAAATATATATCTGTAAATGGATAATATAAATAAATACAAAAGAGAAACTTACCTTAGCAGATACGTTTCATCCTGTGACAGAATTTTTCAAGGCAAATGTGCTACTTTTGTTTATAATTACTTGTTGCAAAATAAAATCCTTATATTTACCTTGACAAAGTACATCAGAGACCAAAACTTGTTGGTTAAGATAAGTTTTCCTTTTGTCTTTTATATATATATATATATATATATATATATATATTGTGTGTGTGTGTGAAATCATCAATCCAACTAAATGTGTGTGTGTATATATATATATATATATATATATATATATATATATATATATATAATAAAAAAGGCTTAAACACTAATATTCCATGGTCATAATTTATTCCATTGGAATCGTAAATACGATCAAATCATCAGACCTACAAATTCAAAATGAAAACAGAAAAAAAACAACTCCGGAAATCAAAACAGAATTTAGAGAAAGTGTAAGTATGAGGATGAGTGACAGAGAGAATTTTTTGGAGATGTGGGTGGGGTGGATTTAAAAAAGAGAGAAAGAAAGTCGACGGATGTCTAATACATAAAGATACATTTCGTGGTGACATATACACACCACAGACAATTCGGATAGGAAGGAAAAAAAAAAAAAAAAAAAAAAAAAAGGGAAAGGGTGGGGAGAGGGATGGGACGAAGGAAAATAAAAATTGTGTTTACTTAAAATTTAAAATCAAATATAAATATATGAAGATGAATATAACGATTGTCTCATTTCGCAAGGACCAAATATTTCTATGTTCGAAAACACATACTAATACACACAAAAAAAACATATATGTATGCATACATCTTTTTTCATATTTAAAAGTTGAATTCTCTTATTTTAAATGAAATTGATTGTACTGTAAGAATGTTTTTGTATAGATGATGTTTAGAAAGCTATCAATTTTTATCAATGTAGTTCTTTTATGTTTAGGAGATGGGAATAAGCAATTTAAGTGAAATGAAGAACGCGGCTAATTCAGGAGTCACACCAATGTAAGTTCTCATTTAAAGAGAAGAATTTTTTTTTTCTTTTCTCTAACTTTTTCCTTTTCATTTCTTCTCTCTATTTGTCTCTGATTTGTTTTCAGTTTCCAAACCTTTTTCTCTTTCTTTATTTCTTTTCTCTGACTAGTCCTTTACTTTTCCTATGTCTCTTTATTTTTCTTTGTGGGCCCTTTCTCTCTCTCTCTTGAAATATATATATATATATATATATATATACTCCTAAATCATCTTTCTCTTCCATTTTCTCCTTCTTACACTTTTCCACTTTTTCTCTTCCTCCATCATTTTACTTGACATTTTTTATTTGTTACCAATTGTCATCACTTTCAAATTATTTTAAGAATTTCTTGTAATTATGTAAATTGTTTCACAAAATATTTTTGTCTATTTTTGTTCACAAATTTCATTTCTATTTTTTTTGTCATTCACTTGAATCTATGAACAAACATTTGAAGCCATTTGTGACCGTAATTAGTGACTTTCTAGATAGATGGTATTCTTTGCAGTTCATAAATAGAAAGAAATCAAGAACATTTAGAATTCCAAAGAAAACAGTTCAACTTTCTTCAGGAATACAAAATGAATATTTTCATTTTTGCTTTCAAAAAATAAACTTCTGTTCAAACTTTGGAAATTATTAAAATATCATTTGTACTTATTGCAAAAATTATTATTAATCTGTTTTGGTTAGTATTTTATATTATTGCTGTGTCCAGAAAAAAAAATTATTATTATTTTTTACCTGAATAAATGTTTCATTTAATAATATTTAATTCCTGATCTTTCTTGAGCAAGTATATTTTAAGCAGCTTAATAGACTAAAGAAAATATGCTAGCATTTGGAATCACGAATGTTACAGTCTCAAATCTAACTTTTAGCTTCTCAATTCATTTATAAACAATAACTGAGAAATAACATTCAGTTTAAACCCATATTGTAAGACAATATGGAGAAGAATTACTTGTTTCTATAGGCCCTACTCTCATTAACCATAAAAGACATATTAACTGAAAATAATAAACACAGTGTAGGTTGATTTAGTAATGATTGTAGAATGATGATCTGGGAGTTGGGAATAAACGCAAGAGAAATAATATAAAATACTAGTCAAAAATGAAATAATATAAAATACTAGTGCAAAATGAATCAAAAACACAATGTAGGTTGAGTTAGTAATGATTGTAGAATGATGATCTGGGAGTTGGGATAAAAAGTGAAAGAAATACTAGTCAAAATAACTAATTTCATTTGGTTGTTGCAAAATTTAATTTTCAAGTTTATAATAGTCATTTTTGTTAAAATGGCAAAATTTTATAAGTTTTTAGACTATGAACATTTTGTGTGTACTTTGCTATTCATGATTTACTTCTGTTGTTTTTCAATGTGTATGTCTTATATTTTAGAGAAAAACCACGAACTCTGTTGACTTGGTCAAGATTGCCTGGTCAGACATGTCGGGTACCCAACTCTGTCATTCTCACTTTAAAGGCAGGACGTGGTGGCTGTTATACTGTCAAATTCTCAAATGATGGCAGGTCAGTTTTTTTGCAACACATTAATTGTATGTAGCTCATTGCTTTTTTCTCTGTTTCTGTAAGATCTCGTATTGTAGATAGGATTTATGAAACCCATGATTAAGTATATTTGAAGTCTTTTTCTCTGAACCTTCAACTGTTTGAGAGCATTCCTTTTTAATTCAGTGAAGCATCTACTGATCTTCCAAGCAGTTGACAGTAAATTTTGATTTTCATTTATTGCTTTGCTAAGACTAGATTTAATCTAATCAAATTTTTCTACATGTTCAATCTCTAAATTTATGTTTCCTCCTCCTTCTTCTTCTTTATGTTCTCTGTCTCCTCAGATATAGGCGATCATGGTTCTCCACAATTTCCTGTACTAATAAATTTTAAATTTTTGTTATTACTCCTAAATTCTGTTCAACCATCCATTTGCTTAAGCTCACCAAGTACATCACATGCTGTTTTCCTCTGTCCCTCTTACCCTCAATCTGTCCTGTGAGTATCAGATTTTCCAAGTCTTCTTTCCTCATTATGTGTCCCTTCATTATGTGACCCAGTGTCTCTTGCTGATATTAAGTATAAGTTTTCTTATTGTTTCCATTTTCCCTAAAAGCTTGTCGTTGCTCATATGTTTGATCCATGATATCCTCAGTACACTTTTATAGAACCACATTTCTGTTAGCTCAAGTTGCTTCCTCATCTTTGAGAAGGTTGTCCAGCATTCATTGCTCAAGTTGCTTCCTCATCTTTGAGAAGGTTGTCCAGCATTCATTGCTCAAGTTGCTTCCTCATCTTTGAGAAGGTTGTCCAGCATTCATTGCTCAAGTTGCTTCCTCATCTTTGAGAAGGTTGTCCAGCATTCATTGCTCAAGTTGCTTCCTCATCTTTGAGGAGATTTTCCAGCATTCATTGCCATAGAGGAGGACAGATATCATGTAACAGTTTTGGTAATTGGTGTGTTAGTTGAAGATGAGTGTCTGTTGACCACTGCCCAAACCTCCCGAAAGAGAAAAAAAATCCAGTGTTGAAGGCTGTTCTTCAAAACCATCAGGTTGATACCTTGACTTGAAATCTCCATATTACTACTACTACTGTTTCCTTATTTGTCTAAAATATTCAAGATCAAATTCTCTGCTTTGCTGCAAACTGTATTTTTTTTCATTTTCTTTTTTTTTCTTCCCTTCACCCATTATTGTGTAATGATGCAGGTGAAGCATGCTACTAGATTGGCATCTAGGTCCCACCTATTTACTATTAAATAAATAGTTAAATGTAACCACCACTTTTATTCCAACCGTTTCTTTCCTCGTACTTCCCGACACTGGAACTCCCTTCCTCTCACTTGCTTCCCTGATAACCACAATCCTCAAAAATTTAAATGCAGTGTCGGTCGCCATCTTCTGTTGCCTTGATCCCTGCCCTTTTTTCCTTTCCTCAGTCCCCCACACAATATCCACACTTTTCTTTCACTGACAAGCTTTCTTTCCCACTGTCCTGACTACATGAATTGAAGCATGTGACTGGATTGGCATCTAGGTCCCACCTATTTACTGATGAAATAGCTAAGTGCAACTGCTACTTCCATTCTTTTCTTGCTCTTCCCACCTATGAAACTCCCTTCCATTTACTTGCTTCCCTGTAATAATCTTCAGAAATTTAAATGCAATGTTAATTGCCATCTACTAACTTCTTGAATCATCTTTTGTCCTTTTCTTACTCCTTCTTGTACTCAGTCTTTTCTCTTACTTTCATTCTCTGTAATTCTCTGCATACTGGTGACATTTTGCTTTGTTTGGGGTGAAATGATTAAAAATAAGAATTAACAATGACATCAATGATTTCAAAATTTTTTTTCTCTTTTAATTCTACTTGTTCAGAAGTCTGGCTTGTGGGTGTAATAATACTAAGGACTATCCTGTTTTGATCTATGAGGTAAGTATCAATCAAAACTTTAATCATTATAAGCTTGTATATAAATAAGAATTGTTTCCTGTTGATCATGTGGACGAGTGGTTAACAGTGTGGAAAATGAAACTATCGAGTGAAGTTCAAATTCTAGCTGAGATAGTTTGCAATTGTTTTGCATTTAATGAGCTTAGGAAAAAGCATAAATTGATTATCACGGCCAGTTACAGGTTAAATAGCTGTGGTTCTAACTTTGGTTGGAAATCAATCAAGGAGATGCATGTCTGAATTCAAACCAGAGGGAGAAAGCAAAGAGAAATGACTCTACTATTTTTCCTCCAAGAACAGTCCCAGCAATGCAGTTTGCATAGATTAGAGCAGTGGCCCCCAAACTTTTTTTTCTTTGGGCTGCATTATTGGAATGAAAATTTGCTGGCGCCTCACCAAATTTTATGTGATAAAAATTACATTTAAAAATAAAAAAAAACAAAAACAAAGAGAGTGTTAAAGGGAGATAACTGCAGATTTGGAGTCAGAACCTCATCGTTGATAACTCTCTCCTCCAATTTGCGGAGCCTAGTTACTATATTCTTAGTACTTGATATAATGCAAAAATATCAAAATTATAAAATTGGTAAATAATTATTTATAACTATTTTTACTGGAACTCATGCATGCAGTTACAAGTAATCCATAATAATATTTTAAATTTTGAAATCATATTTTGAAGCTGTTTCTAAATCTTTTATTGTTTTTCAATTGTGGCAGATGTGATGAGACAGAACCTGGGACGAGCACAACTGGTCACGACTTGCCTTGTCCCCGCCAAAAAAAGAGTCCGTATTTGCTTAGCATGTAAAGCTACTGCAGTTGAAATGAGGGAGAAAAAAAGCACTTACCGCTCTGCCGTAATCCGTCCTCGGCCAGATAACAAAAAAGAATGAGGGGGGACTTGCCTTGCATTTTTATGCAATAAAGATGCAATGCATTATGGGACAGGGACGCAATGAATTATGGGATCGCATGAAGACACAAGGGATTATGGGTATATGGACAAATATAAAAGCAACTAATATTTTCCCAGTGGGGGTTCTTTGGAGTGACGTTCATGGTTGGCGGCTGGAAAAGTCTGTTAGTGCGATTTTGAGACAGAACTCAAGAAGGAACAATTCAAGGTTGGAATACCAGCTGGGAGAGCTTGAATTTACTCGCTGGTTGCTGTTTTCTTTTTATTTCGCTACATCAATAATTCTACCTCATCTGCTATTCTCTTCTGGCACACTGTTTGGGAACCACTGGATTAGAGAAATAAATGAAAATGAAACTGTGGAGAGTTATGATCACCTACATCTTGAAGAGGCATGGCACTTAAAAGATTCATGGTCATATTTCTTGGGAAGCAATGCAGTATTTTAAAATAATTATTAGTCCCTGAATACGACAAAATTAACTCTACAGCTTATTTAAATTCTTATTTAAAAATATCATTAATTTTTCAATAAAATTAATACTCTTAGTATGTAAGATTTCCATAACAAAATGGGAAGCTAGAAAAGTGTAGACTTTATTGGTCCATATGTTAATACATATAAATAATCATAATGAGTTTTCAGGTTATAGGTCATGTGCAAAATTGACTTTAAAGCTTACAATTAATTGCAGATGGGGATAAATTCTGTTTGTTGAATTCTTTCGTGTGCATGATGGCGTTCATTGTTTTTACATCTTGATCTGAGGTAGTGACCGTTACATATATTTTTTGTAATCTTTAAACCACACACATGCACACAACTAATAATAACATTTGAAGTAATAAAGATGTCTGGTTCAAAATAAATGCATGAATCTGTTAGAAATTGCTTTGTTTACATTTTGGATGCAAAATTTGGAAGACATGGGCTTGCAAGAAAATATGATTGTGGGGAGGTGCATTTCATAAAATTTGATGCTCTCTGTGGCCAAGTGGTCTAAGTCATCCCAGATCAGATGGCACTTTCTAAGACAAAGGGAGACACATGTTCAAACACTGCAAGAGAGCTCATATTCTTTATTAAATTTTCTTGCGTGCATAGGCCAATAGATGCAAACACATTGTTTAAAAAACTGGGTAACTATTCAAACATGGGTATCCACAAAAATTAGAAATATATATATATATATATATATATATATATATATATATATAACTATAATTGTTTCGAAAAACCCTCGAATTTTTGATTTGCCAATAATCAAATCAATCTCGAGGGGGGGGGAAGGTTTTAAAAAAAGAAAGAGCTAGAAACATGAAAGTCTGTCGAAAAAAATCGCACAGATACAGGTTTGAAGCCCAAAGAAAAAACCTCGATATGAGTAAACAACTAACTAACAAAAGAGCTCAATACAACCGTAGAGCAGACCTAGATAAACCTAGTGAGCCAGATAAACCTACCTACGTTTCACCTAAATGGATCGTCAGGGAAAGCTGGCTTCCTGACGATCCGTTTGACGAAACCTTTTTGTGAAACCTCACTAGGTTTGTCTGGCTATATATATATTTTATATATATATATATATATATATATATGTATGTATTTGGGCCGCAATCCCTCTCTAATACATGTTTTCTTAAAAATGACAAGATATTTCAGTTAAGTTTTTTGATTGCATTTCTCTCCTGTGTGAGACTACATTTTTGAAAATGTCCAATGACTGTTTGTTTCAAGTGCATTCGGTTAATCTGAGTTTCAAGGAGTTTGGTTGTGTTCTTCTAAATGGTGTTTAAGTACTGATGTATTCTGTTTAAAAGTTGATGAATTGTAGACATATTATTAATTTTCAAGTGTCTGTGTTCATAATTGATGTTGTTAAGCATTGTTTTTTTTTTTATTATAAGGACATCCATTCATTTTCAGATTTTTCTTGCAGTTGGAGGTACACATAAAAGTATATCTTCTTTTCAACGACGTTTAAACAGTTTAAAATAGCATTTAGAGATGAAATGGCTTATATTAGGTTAGTCAGAAGTGGAAAGAAAACAACAAAATTTTATGGAGCAACACCAACTTTTATGCTTCAAAATAAAGTCCAGCATCAGAATCTGTCCCAGATACCAGTCCGCTGGCTTTGACTCAAAAAAACTGTAAGCAAGCTTCCTTTATTTCATCAGAAGTGTTGAATCACTGTTCATGGAGGAAGTGTGGCATTGAGCGGAATAGGCACTAGTCACTCAGAGCAGCATCAGAACTGAATGGTGGATGTGGAAGAATCTCAACACAGCCCATCTGTTTGAATAAAATAAAGTCCATCATTCTCGACAATCTCCTGCCAGTGATCAGCTAGCATTTGAATCTGTCCCAGAAACCAGTCTGCTGGCTTTGAATCAAAAAACTGTAAACAAGCTTCCTTCACTTCATCAGGAGTGTTGAATCACTGGTCACAGGGTCACAGGGGAAGTGTGCCATTGAGCGGAATAGGCCATAGTCACTCAGAACAGCATCAGGACTGAATGGTGGATGTGGAAGAATCTCAACACAGCCCATCTGTTTGAACTTCTCCTTAGTCAACTTGCCAGTGTGTAGTCTCATATCATTTTGCTGAAACAAAGCCCAACCTTCGTTGACCAAGCAGGATACTCTTTCTTTAGTTTGTCACACATATGGTCTAGCTGCTGGCAATGCAGTTTAGTGTTCATGGTGTGACCGTGTGGAACAAGCTCAAAATGCAGTACTCCTTGTAAATTCTACCAGACAGAGATCAAGATTTGTTGTTACTTTTCCACTTCATAAGTGAGTCTTTCTGGCCAACTTAGTATTTATAGAAAATTTAATTCTAGGCTCAAGATGCCAATTCGACTTGATATAATCAAATATTGCCTCTTTTCCTGCTTTAGATTCCATCTGGACAGCTGCGCCACCATTTACCTGGACATTTCGGCATCATCTATGATCTTTGCTGGTCACCAAATGATATCCAACTGTGTTCTGCTTCAGCTGATGGAACAGTCAGGTCAGTTAAAATATTTTGTATGGGTTTGGCTCTTTCTTTTTTTAATGTTTTGTATTTTTTTAAGTATCAATGTGTCCTGTCCCCTCAGGATATTGGGGATCATATCTCTCCAAGATTTCCTGTTCTTTTTAGCTCTTAATAAATTTTGGCCTTTTGTTTTCTCTCCTGAACCTTGCTCTGCATCCATTTACTCAAGATCTCTAAATAGGTTATGCATTGTTTTCCTCTGTCCATCTTGCCTTCAATCTGTCCCGTGAGTATCAAATTTTAAGTAATACATTTAGGTAATAATAGATATATTTAAATTTAAGATATTTAAAATGAATTTTTTTTTGTTTTTAAAGTTAGCTGAGTAACTGGGGGTAAACTGCCTGCATACAGATAGAAAATGAAGTACAAAAAAAATAGGAAGGAGCTTAAGACAAGGGTGGGTCTTCTCGTCAGATCTATTTAACCTTTACAGTAAGGTGATCCTAAGAAAACCAGATCTCCTACCAGAATTCATTATTGGTGGGCACAGTCTTAACAACATAAGATATGCAGCTGACACTGTGTTGATGTCAGACAGAAGGAAACCTACTAGACAAAATAGTAAAGGAAAGTAAGAAGAAAGGGCTAACTATCAATTATAAGAAAACACAATGTATGGTTGTTGACAAGAGAAAAAGCCAGTGAAGTGAGCTATAAATTGGAGTTGTCAGAAATTTGACTATCTGGTAAGTGTTTTAACTGAGGATGGATAATGTGATGTTAAAATCTGAAGATACATTGGAATATTGAAAAGATGCCTTCCAAAAACTAAACGAAGTATTAAGAAATAGGAAAATGTCATTAGAAGCTAAGAATGTTAAATTGCTATTTAATATCTAATCTCCTATATGACTGTGAATGCTGGACAATCTCCTCATACCTTTCATAAACTAAAAGTATTAAGTAATGGGAAAATATCGTTAGAAACAAAGAAAAGAGAGCTGAACTGCTATACAATATCTAATCTCCTATATGGCGGCGAATGGTGGACAATCTCCTCATGCCTTTTCTGAACTAAGCAAAGTATTAAGAGGTAGGAAAATGTCATTAGAAACAAAGGAAAATGTGCTGAACTGCTATGTATTATCTAATCTCCTATATGGCAGTGAATGCTGTACAGTCTCCTCATGCCTTTCATAAACAAAGCAAAGTATTAAGATATAGAAAAATGTCATTAGAAACAAAGAAAAGAGTGTTGAACTGCTATGTAAAATCAATACTCCCATATAGCAGTGGATACCAGACAATAATATCCTCACAAATGAAGAAGAGACTTGTGACAGTAGAGATGTGTTTTTACAGAAGGATATTGAGAATGCCATAGACAGAGTGTGTATGTAATGAGGAAATTCTAAGTAAAATGAAAACAAAAATGTCACTTAGACTTAGAATCAGTAAGAGAATTGAAATCTTTAGGGCATATAATGAGGAAAGAAGGCTTGGAAAATTTGACACTGACAGGGCAATATTGAAGGCAGGAGGGTCAGAAGGAAACAATAAGTAATGTAACTAACAAGCTTGTATAAATGGATGGTTGCATAATTGGAGCTGGAGAGATAGCAAAAAGGCAAACATTGTAAATAGCTAAAAAGGATAGCAAGTTGTGGAATGCCATGATTGGCCATATCCTGAAGCACATAGAAGTAATTTAAATTTGTAATTATAATTGTGCTCTAAATTATTTTAATATCTATCTATATTTCTGAGATGAGGTATTGTAGTTATTTATACTATTTACATTGTTCATATGTCCAAAACTCTGCCCACTTCCTGGGAATAATCAAAGATGCTCCCATCCAATACAACTGGATGGTGAGCCTGGATGTGGCAAGTTTGTTCACCAACGTAACCACAGATGTTGCACTATTGGTAGTCAAGAACAGACTGGCCTCAAAATTATCCCTAGGAGAATGGACCTGTATACCAATAGATAACACTAGCAGTAGAGCCTGGCATTGCCCAGGGATGTAACAGTAAGAGATAGATCAAGTATCGACCATCATAAAGACTGAAAAATAAAATTGACAAAGATTATCGTTTAAGGTTGATGGACACGCATGTCTTAATTAGTTTTTGTTTTGTTTTGTTTTGTTGGGTTTTTTTTACGAATTGGTCAAACCCAAACTCAAACAAAAACATTGTTTTCAATCGTTATGAGTCTACCGATTGAATAGAATTTTATTATAAACAATTGTCTTGTAAATGGAATTTTTAAAGCATTCTGAATGTAAAAATAAAGAAAAAAGTGTGCAAGACAATAAGAAACACTACCTGCCAAAAAAGTGAAGTTTTGTTGAAATTGGTTGAAAAATGTAGGAAATCCGATCCCATATATAAAGGAACGCACACATACAAACAACCTGGGTTTTATAATAAGTATAACTCGATATGAATTGTCCCCCTTTCATTCTCGCGATGCCTCATAATCATGTTTTCAAATTGATTTCGTGCAAAAACAATTGTTTTCCCAATTTTTGGCGCTGTCATAACCACCACAAGGTAATTTTACATAGTCCTGTGAAGTTTTGTAGAAATTGATTATAAAATGTAGGAAATCCAATCCAATATATAAACATACAGACACACACACACACACACACACACACACACACAACCTGGGTTTTATAATAAGTATGATGATGAAGATGCTGGCTTTTGTACACAAACAACACATTTCAGAATGAGATCAGGCATCTATCGACAGGATGAAGAGTTAGCAATGGGCTTGCCGTTTTCACCAGCAATGACAAACATATACATGGAACATATATATAAATATTCCCACAGACAAAGAATATTTTGGTATGTTAAAATGAGATATCAATGTTATTTTCATTTTTGTGTAATTTAGACGACAATTTATCCATCGCAACCTGTAGGCTTAGCAGGCAGAAGCCCAAGGCCTCAAAATCTGGGAGTGGAGGGCAGCCAAAATGTATAATATTTTTGACACTGTTATAGACCTTTCTCACACATGTAATAACACACTGTAGACTCTAAACAACCCTTTAGTAATTTTAAACACCTGTCAACATTCTTAGCTTTACTCATATTGTTTAATTTAACAGTCTTCCATTTTCCTCTACTTGTGAAAAGGGGTGATTTGTTGGGGCCTCACAAGTGGAATAATCTAAGGAGGCCCTAGTCTTCATATAAATCCTGCCTTCGTAATAGGTTTATTTTTCTCTCTTTAGAACAATTTTTTTGTTACTTCCAGAGTTTGGAACAACCAGCGGCCAGATGAACAAGAAGTAAAGATATTGCCACACCCAGGTTATGTTTACTGCTGCCAATTCCACATCAAATCTGACAGTCTTGTAGTGACAGGAGGCTTTGATGCTATCATCCGTGTTTGGGAAACCCATGTTCCAGATAAATATGGGCAGGTTGTTTTTTTGTTTTTTTTTTTTTTCCCTTCATTATTTAAATTTTTATTTTAGAAAGGTCATTGAAATTCGCTTGACACTTAATGGAAATCTATAGATCCAAAATAATAAAGTACACTCTATCAATAGTGGAGATGATTCAAGTGTTGGTTTGTAAATTTGGTGGCATAGGAATTTTGAGTTCAATCCCTGGACTGAGTAGTATGGACTGAGAATCTATGGAAACAGGGTGAACAATAACTGAGCAGTATTTAAAAAAAAAAAAAAAAAAAAAGGAACAAGGTATCGCTAAGTATGGAAGCAGAATGAGAACAATCTACTCCCACTAAATTAAAAAAAATGGTTTAGTTCAAAATTCCATACAGGTTACTTCTGTCAACAGATACCCGAAGAAGGGCAGGGAGGTCACAATGACCCAACACTGTGATAACAACAACAAAAATATGAACATTAGTCTAACTATAAATAACTCTCTTTTGAAATATACAAAGCAAGTATATATATATATATATATATATATATATATATATATATATGATAGAAATTATTAGGAGGATTTGATAATGATATTTAAGTAATTCATCAAGTCTGAAAGAAACCTCAACAGAATGCAGAAAGCACTGGACGGCCGTTTCGTCCTATATTTGGGACTCATCAGCAGTGCGCATCCACTACCTGAACTACCGAGAATTGAAACCCTGACAGTTAGGTTGTCAAGCAAACATCATACCAACTGTTCCAACGGGCCGCGGTGATGAAGAGATTGCAAATCAGACTCAATATAGCACTGCTCGCTCACATATTCTGTGGTGGAACTCTGCTGAGTTCTCTCTAACCATAGGACTGTGCCCCCTGGAGCCACGACTACTCTCACCAAGCCACTCACTCTAGAGCATTAGAAGCCGGTTCCAGCAATGATATACACATGATAGAAATTATTAGGAGGATTTGACAAATTTTGTCTGACGATCACAAAAGCGTGAAACCCAAGGTCACAAACTCACATCAATCCGACTAAATATGTTAGCTCTATCACTGATATTGAGCGCTTTCCAATCAGTACCGTGCATATATAATATATAAATAATATATATAATAAACTGTATATATATATATATATATATATATGTGAAAATATATAGAAAATAGGAAGGAACTGGTTAGGTAAATAGTCCAAAGTTCCTTAGTATTTTTGTTATTATTTTAAAAAATAGTGCTCGATACAAAAGTAGAGCATAAATATAATTATTTATTTAAAATATGATTCCAAATCGCTACATAAGAGGTCTCATGTTTCAAAAAAAGAGCCGAAAACTTCAATATAATCCTTTAAATTAAATTGAGTTGAAATAAAAAGGGCTCCGTTCCATCTTCAAGCGAGTTTTTGTTGGAATAACGTATATCTGAAATTTACTTGTTTTAAAAAAGTTGAAATCAAAATCACCATGGTAACAGTTAGGGCGAATTGTCTAAAATGGGTAGGCGAGTGTAGGGTGTTAAGGATGAGTGGCGGTATAGAGATACTTTCAAGGTGTCAAGTCTGGGGAGGGTGGGGTGTTAAAAAAAGAAACGAAGATGTATTAAGCTTTCGTCATGTTGGCTTGTCTATGGAGATTTATTTATTTATTTTATTTTATTTTATTATGAAAGGGAATTGTGCTTATAAAAAGAAAAACTTCTGTGGCGTTTTTTTTTGACGACTTCATAAAGGGTTATCTTTTTAGTTAAGGTATTTAAACTACTAATTTGTGCTATGTATTATGAATGTTTGTATGCAAGTTTGTAGTTAATAATTTTACTGTGAATCTGATGATTGGGTTATTTGTTAAACAAGTTATATAATTTTTTTTTTTTTTTTTTTTTTATTTCAAACCAAAAATCTGATGATGCCTACAAAAAACCGTTAACTCGTGTCTATTATTTAATAGATTATTATTATTTAGAAGTTTAATAATGTGTAATTTTTCATGGAAATAAAGGGCATGGGTCATCCCAAGCCTTACATGTTCTAGCCTTGTCAATAATTTTCCATTTAACTTTTGGTGTTTTATTTGTTTTTAAGTGCCAAAAATATTTTGATAGTGAAGTCTGGTTTCTTTTGTTTATATTATTAAAGGAGCACTTTGCTGCCTCCATCTATCTTTTAAATTATTCTTATGGAAATGTATATCATATTAGTGCTAGGGCTCTCTGTGGATGAAATAGTGCATTGGTATACCACATAGTTAATACAACATTTATTTTCTAATGGGCAGTCTTCTGGGTTTCTACAGTTACATAATTTTTCCTATTATCATCTGATTTAAGTGTAGAGTTTTTTATTAATACTGTTTTGGCATGGGGGTTTGTTCAAGATACTATTATTGTGTTTTTTTATTATGCGTTCAAGATTATCAGAGCAGCTGTAGCTCAATTTTAGGGTGTTCTTATTGAATATATTACTAAGCTTACTATTGGTGGGGAAGTGTTTATTAATTAGAGCTAAGAATTTCTGTCCTAGTTTAATACTAACACTTTGGTTGAACGGAGGGGTGTACCATATGATATTTCTTTTCCTGTTTTTTTTCCCATGTCCGGTGCAATTTTCTCTGTAGTTAATGTTAGCATTTTTATAACCACTATTTTTTAGGGCAGTGTTGTAGAAGCTATTATGTTTTTGGAATATTTCCCTGTTTGCGGAGTTAAGGCTAATTCTATTTTCTATTGATGAGGGTATATGTTTAATTATTGATGGAGGATGGTTTGACTTCATGTATGTATAAAGGGTTAACATTTGGTTTTCTATAAGGTTTATGTATTGTCTGGTAAGTCTAGAGTTACGTCGAGGAAGTTAACCCTTTTCAAATTAGAAGAGACAGTTATCTTTAAGTTTAGTTTCTTAAATTCACTAAATATAATTTTTCTGATTTTTTCAATCTTAAAACTAGTAGAACTCCTCACCACCATGAGCCCGTCATCTCTATACAGCCCGATGTCCTTAATATCAATTTCGCGGTGTGCCGTTAAATTGTACAGTATTAGGAGACCAACAAGGTCAGAAGACTCTGCAGAGTCTAATGATCCCATAGTGATGTCAAACAGGTCGTTATTGTTTTTTTATCCATTGGTCCCCATTGTGAACGAGGACCGATTTCTTTGCGCTGAGGATTATATCCATTTCATCCTTTGTTAGGTTCGAATACACAGCAGCTAAGTCCAGGGCATCGAATAAATCCTTCCGAAATTGATGGGTAGTAGTCCAATATCGAACTGTATAAGGGTGCAATTCCGTTTATCATCAATATAGTTAAACCAATTGATAACATCTTTGGTATTGATCCATAGTTTTAATTCAGTTGTTTTTTTATTTGGTAGGTAATTTTTTCCAGGATCTTTTTTGCTGATCTTTCCTATGTCGGGTCGGGTAGGGTTAATTATTCTGGTCGCAGGGTGTTCTAAGAAGTCAGGCTTATGATCCTTAAGAGTTATATAACATTCTTTTTCAGTAAGTTTACCTACTCTATCGCTGATTTTTTAATTTATCTGTTATTCTTTTACTAGTTTTGTTTATGTTTTCAACCATATTTATGTTGTTGTTGCAAGCTTTTTATAAGTCCTGGTTAAGTTTTTTTAATTAAGTTGTTGTAGTCATCGACATCCAATTTGTAGAACGGTTTTGTCTGATTTAACTAATATTTTGTCACATTCATTAATGCTTTTTAACTATTTGGTTTAGATGTTTTTGGAAATGGTTTTTATTTTTTGAAAGGAGATGTTGTTGATAATGTTGAGTAGGTCTTTTCAAATTCAAATAGTTGTTTGTTGAAAGGGGCAACTTTTTTACTTTTAAAACCAGAACTTCACGTTCTTTATCAGTAGGGTTATTTCACTAAAAATAGAAGTATGCTTTCCATCTCATCCTTCTGATTAATTCCTCTGTTTTTTTGTAAAAGCTTAACAAAATAATTCCGTTTGTTTGTTAGTGGAATTAAAAGAGCTTTTTAATAATACACATAAAAATACTTTTTTGCTTTATCTATCCATTTACACTAATGTTTCATGCTTATCAATTTTTCAAAATGGATGACTGTTTTAAATAGTATTCCCAAGATCTATTGTGCTTTTAAGATTTTTTAAAAATAAATAAATCAATGTGCCGACAGTCCAAAATAATTTCATTCCATTTATTTACTAAATTCCCATTCTTAAATTCTATAAATTGTATTTCTTACTCCATGCATAAATTTCTGTCTCTGTCTCTCTATATCTTTTTGTATTAAAATATGTATATTTAGGTAGCATATCTTTGTTCAAGCATGTTTGGTTGAATAATCTGGACATATTATGCCTGTTTATCTTTATTTTAATCATCTCAACTTCACAGATCAATTTCTTAGTGTTATTATTAAACTGATTAAGAAAAACACCATAGTTTTTGTCATTTCTTTTATTTTCCTGAGTACTTTCAATCTTATCCATGATCGTCCTCAGGGGTGAATTGCTAAGACAAAAATTAATGTAATTGATAGTTATGAATTCTTTTATAAATGTGCATTAAACACACCCCATTATAGTCAATTTAAAAATTAACAATTAAGAATATGTAAGGGAGGTAACTTAATTTATATTTTTTTTATTATTAGTGTTTTAAAATACTCAACCTGCAATTTAAAATTTTTTTTTTCACAATTTGAGTATCCCAAAACTTTGCATTTTAAAATATTGTTGTATACTCATAATTAATCTTATTTAGTGTTGGTTGCATTTGCTTCAGAAAGCTTTCTTTTTTTTTTTTTAAAAAAAAAGAGTAAAAGGAAAGTTAAAAAGCTTTAAAAATTCAGAAAATAAAAAAATGAAAATGTCAAAAACATAAGCACAGTTTCAAATTTGACATTTGGACTTAAATAAGTTCTAGGTTCACTAACTCTGTTTCCGTATCATGAAAAGGACTTCTAAATCCATAAAAAATAAATTTTTCAATTTTGATATATGTTATGCCTTAAGAAATACCTTGAAAAAAATTTTCTTTTTTTTTTATGAATGGACCTGTCTATTTAAGTAGTGCCAAGGAATTATTTGAACTAGTATCTTCATTTTTGTTGTTTTTGACTACCAGGTGCAGCATACCCTTGAGGAAGGTCAGCAAACACATAGGCAGAAATAAAGTTTGTAGGATTTATGGGTATACTTGTCAAAATGATGACAACCCTTAATTTCCAAAGTACTGAGAGTTTATACATTGGAATTATGACTTTTTTTTTTTTTTTTTCAGTTATTACAAGAAATTGAATCTCATAAGGGCAACATCAACACTCTTTGCTTTGATGAACTTGGTGAGAAACTCTATTCTGGTGACAGTATTGGAACCGTGTTGATGTGGAACTCTTACTTGAATAACCAACCATCAGAAACAGGTGACCATTAAATTGACCTTTACTAATGACGTTTATGTAAATGGAGTTCATTACATTTTTCTACTTAGCCTTTAAATAAAGTTGAAGAAATAAACACACACACACGATCTCTCAGGGAAGCACTGTCCCTTGAAAGACTGTTTGACCTCAAACTTGCACCTGACCTAAAGTGCAACTTGTACATATGATCCATTACTAAGGATGCAGGTAAAATGGTCGGCTCTTGGTACTGCTACAGTAAGTACCTGACTCCTCCTGCTATTTGCTACCTTTACAAGAGCCAGATCAGGCTGAAAATGGGGTACTGTTGTCATATTTGGATGGGAGCTGCCCAGACCTCACTCTCCAGCCTTGATAGGGTTTAAAAGCATTGCCAAGCCCTTGTGGGTAACAAACTATTTTCCACCCTTCAACCTCTCTCCCATAGGTGGGATGTGCCAAACCTCCCGCTGTTCTACTGCTACTTCCATGGAAGGTGCTTGGGTGAACTACAGTCCCTGGTCCCACCGAGGTAAACCTTCACATCAAGAACATGCCATCCTACTTACATAGTAGCAAATCACCCTCATTCCCTCTGTATTCCATTGGTGAGAAATAAGTTCCACTTAAGCAGCTTCTTCCCATGAACCACTGCCCTGTGGAACTGACTCCCAAGAGGATGCTTCCCTGATCATTACAATCTTAATCTGTTCAAGGCTAGATTTAACCATTACCTTCCACTCCTATACATACAAATGGCCTCCAAATGTAACTCTCTAACTGTAAAAAAAAAAAAAAAAAAAAAAATACATATACACAGTTGTGAACAGAATTATTCACCCTTACTGAATATTTACATATTTTCTAAGGAAATGCTAATATTTCAAGTACTTACTGAATTTACCATAAATAGTTGATTCAATATTTAGTTTTGAATAATTGCTCTTTGGTGATTGTAATGTTTTCTTTTTCTTAATCTGGCATTTAATACAAACACCGTATAAAAATGAAATAGTACTGGTCTGATTCTGTAACATTCTAAAAGGTAAGGAAGACTATATGTGAGTGCCATGTATAGTGGGTTTATCAGTTATAGTGAAGTGTATGAGTGTTAAAACAGATTAGTTTGATTTGGCCTTGTTAGTTAGATAGCCCACCATAAGAGGGGTATAAAACAAGAAAATCAAATTGTAAAGTGAAACAACAAATTTATATACATATAAATCAATGAAGGTCTCTACAAATAAAATAAATGTAATTTGGTTGATACAACGTCGTCAAAATGTTCGTAGTAGTCCTTACAAGAATGAGTATGTGTATGTAGGCAGGAACATACATGTGGATGTATGTATGTATGAGCGTTATTGTAGGGTAGGAATGTCTTTGAAGTAATTGCTCAGTCTTAAAATGTTCCGTTCGTTTATCAAGTATAGAAGAGGTGAGGTAGAAAGGTAGAGATAATAATAACGATTGCTTGACGTTTGTCAAGGGATGTGTTAATACGCTCATCTTCTCCTCTCTGGTGACAGGCGAACTTGCCCATTTTTTATTTTGTTTGCGGGGGTTGAAAAGATCATTTGGGAATTCACTCTCGGATATGATTCGGGCCTTCCCATTGGATGACGAACAGACTTAGTGTCGGCTCGCAAAAAGGTTCATAAAAGAATTTGTTTCTGAGAATTAAAGATTATTTGAATTTTGTTTTTAAATGTTTCTTAGTTTTCTATTGGCCAAAAAACATTTTGCATCAAGGTGTGAAATTTCACGAGTTCTGTTTTGGATTCGCTTTTGCATGTGTGTTAAGCAAAGTTTGTAAATTCAAGTCTTTTTAATTTCTAACAAAATCAATGAGTCAGTGCTTAGCATTTGAATTTTAAATCTACATCTTGTTTTGTTCACTACAAAATACCATTTGAAAATGAAATAGTATTGGCCTGATTCTATAAAATTCTAAAAGGTAAGACAATACATGAGTGCCATGTACTGCAATAATGCATTCATTCTGCAACCATAGCAAGGACAGCTGAACTAGACCAGAAGTTCTGAATGATGGTAGTTGATGCATACAAACAAGGCCGATGGATATACAACACTTTCCGAGCATTTAAATGTTCCTAGATTGACAATTCGTAGCATTATCAAGAAGTATGAGACTCATTCTCTTGAGAATAAATTAGGGACTGGTAGAAAACAGTTAATTTCTGAGAGAATGGAAAGGAAAATTGTTCCAGATGTCTCGAAGAATCCTCATTTAATGACAAAGGACATTGTCAATGATGTAAAGACATCAGGGTTAAATGTATTGATAAAGACAGTCACTAGAGGCCTTCATTGAGCAGGACTTCGAGCTTGTTGCACAAGGAAAACTCCCTTACTTAAGGTTAACCAACTAAAATGCAGATTAGCTTATGCTGGAAGCCATCTTGAAACATGGAAGTAAATAGTGAAACTATGTTTTATGGTCAGATGAAACCAAACTAGAATTATTTGGTCACATGAACTCTCGTTATGTATAGAGTAAAGTGAATGAAGCTCAAAAACCCCAAAATACCCTCCCTACAATTAAGCAAGTTGGTGGGAGCATTGTGCTCTGGGGATGTTTTGCTCCTTTTGAACCAGGAGAACTAGGGACAGTAAAGGGTATCATGGATAAAAAGCAGTATTTGGCTATTCTTAAAAATAATATAAAATAAAGTACACGAATGCTGTCTTTGGAATATCCCAACATAACAATGGCCTGAAACAGATGGCACAAATTGTTACAAAATACTTAGATGCCAGCAAAATTAAGATACTACTGCATCTTGCACAAAGTCTTGACCTAAACCCCATTGAAAATTTATAGGGCATATTTGAAGAAAAAAGTAAGAGAAAGAAGTCCTTCAAATTTGAAGAGACTAGAAGCTGTTGCCAAGGGAAAATGGAGAAAAATATCTATCAGTGTGTGTAGTGATCGTGTAAGGAATTATCAAAAATGATTAAAGGCAATAATCAAGAATAAACGTTACCCAATTGATTATTGAGGCAAGAGGGACAATAATTTTGTCCGATGTTAAATGTCTTTTGGTTTTTTTTTTTTTTAATTGACATTAAAATAAAAATGTTGTTGTGGGCATCACTGCACATTCTTTCAAATCCATTATTTTGGAGAAAATACACATGCAGTTTCAATGAAAATTTGAATTATTACAGCTTTATTTGTAATTATGGAAGTGGGTGTGTGAATAATTCTGTCCACAACTGTACATACATTTTATTTTCATATGTGTGTGTGTGTGTGTGTGTGCATGTTTCATTAAAAATGACAATCAAGACTTTTTTTTTTTTTTTTTTTCAGTTATTTTTTTATGAAATTGCATAGATTTAAGTTCAGTGTGTATCAATAATTTTTGTGACTGAGTGCTTTCTACCAAGCTCCTGCTCATTTACATGATTTGGTTTTATGTAGGCGTATTGTCTTTCACATATTCAATTACAGCCATTAAAAACACTGTACGCTGGTGCACATCTCCGGTTGAATGCAATAAATGTATAAGATTAATAATTTACAACAAAGATCTTTAAAAAATCTAGCCTTATCCTTGATTTAAAAAAAATCTAGCCTTATGCTTGATTTAAAAAAAATCTAGCCTTATCCTTTATTTAAAAAAAAAATCTAGCCTTATCCTTTATTTTAAAAAAAAATCTAGCCTTATCCTTGCCTTCCCTATGATTTCATAATTATTTTTAAAGAAATAACCAATATTAACTTTAAGTTCCCTTCATTTCATTACTAGCTTTCTCTGCATGAAATTGTATATTGAAGTATGTATAAAAAAAAAAGAAGCATGATACATACCTTTCGACTTGACCATTGCAGATGATGCCACTTTCAACTGACTTAAATTTTACTTCCAGCAATCTAAAATCACTAGAATTTAGTTAAATTCATCTTGCTTACCATACTGATGACTTTCAATTCTTGACAATGACTGTGATATTTGAGTATTTGAATATAACAGCAAAAAATACTTTGTACAATATATAACAATTCTAATCTCAGTGTACAACACCTCATCCAGAAATTTAAAAAATGCTAAAAAATTAAATTTTCAATCAATAAATAAGTTTATAATTAATTAATTTTGGTGTAAAAATAATGAACTTTGGACAATTTATTAACAATTTTAATCCTGATGTATGCCACCTAATTCAGAAATTGGGAAGCTGTAATAAATGTTGAATAGATAGGCCTTGTTAGTTGTATTTAATAAAAGTTGTTTGGCTATATCCTTGCTGTCTAAATAAACCTTATCTATTTCTTTCTCTCTATATGTCATCATATTTCTCTCTTTCTTATGTCTCATATCGAGAATATTCCACATTGAACATGAAGAAAAATTAATTATTTTTAATAATATGTAAAAATCTCCACTTTCACCTGAAGACGGTTTGAGACCAGACCAGAAACACGTGTCGTGAAATTATGTAAAACAAAGTATAATATTTTTCTCAATAAATCCACATTACAACCAAAAAACGTTTATGCACCCCTCTTCTTTTTAATATGCATACTTTTCTCTCGTTGGAACCACTACAACATATTTCTTTTATATATATATATATATGGTGGACTCTCCTGTTGTATTCGATGTATGAGGATCAGCAACTCAGTTCCTAGAAACTGACAGCCAAACACCAGCACATATGATTTGATTATAGTGGTAAAGGCTTTGTGCTGAACCAACCACACGTTTTGAAGGGCCGAATACAGAGACCTGGTGCACTACGTACCACAAGGTTCCCAAGCAACCCTCTCCAGATTTTAAATTCAGAGTTGTCCTTCTCCTAGAACCATTCTGTCCTGCTAATTAGTGGGAGGGAGAAGAAGAGGATTCATAATTTTCCCAAGCGTATTAGCATGTAAATGAATGCAATGGATTCAATTGGAATTCAAACTCAGCTCTCTGAGCCCTTAGTCCGAGCTACCCATTACTCCAGAGGTACCATATATATATATATATATATATATATATATATAT